GTATCTGCCACTGGGGTCTCCCTCGACATCGCGCGGGATGGAGCAAACAGGCGCTCACTTCATGCTCTTCGCTGTCATTTCCATACACCTCGCTATCGGCGATCGAATGCATTTCTGACGGCCGTAGCTGGGGCCGGGCAGATCATTGAGCAAGCATCTTCTCCCACAAGTGATCGCCTCACGAGTCTCCCAAACGCGGCTTTACCGGAGCGCGTGGCCATATCCTGAACATCCGTCCATACTGCCTGACTCATCGCATCGCGGATACACAATACGAGCCGTGCGTGCTGCAATTGCAAGACGCAATGACGAGCAGGGCTCACGATTGAGACAACTCGTGGAACAAAAGGTGAGAAGGTTATGGACAGACCCCAAAGCTTCGAGCCAGATCGACGATTGACTTACGTACAGCAGGCATTACATGAATCCTTTTGCTCAGGAAGTACATCGGTTCCGCGTTGACACGCGCGAGGATCGTTCCATCACTTGTTGAACCTCCTCTGCCGCCACGATGGCACCCCTCGAGCGACGCGTTTCCTTCCGAACTACCCACCTGATTGACTGCAGAGGGCGACAACCGCAAAGCCGCTGGAATCGAGGGTGGCGATGACTATGGAAAGCCTGGAATTTGGCTTCGGCCATCATCCATGGCAGCCCTCAATGAAATCGCGTCCACGGAAAGAGACAGAAAGATGTAATTCACAACTTCAGAAGAGCTTGGATGAGGCATGCAAGACTGGAGGCCGGGACGCGAGAAAAAAAAAGTAGACGGGACAAATGGACAAAGTACAAGAAGCTGTATCGAGCAACAGAAACCCCTGACAGATTTTCTTTCGGCCTTGCCGTCATCATCTAGTTGCTTCAATCTTGCAGATCCATACCAGAATATTGTCCACTCTCAAGAAGCAGCGAGGAACGTTCCATCAACAGTGATCAAATGCGGCCGTAGAACACGTCGACAGTCATCACGAAGCCACACAACTGATACCAAAGACGATGTGAATGTAGTTGTACTGGAAGAATAATGGCAGCGGCGCGCGTACTCCACAGCCCGTCATACACGTTCTGGCCGCTGATCTCGAATCTCATAGGCTCTTGCTTCGGACAGCAGACGGGAGAGAAAGAAACAACGCCGCAACGTCTTCGCGCAGCGGTAGCTTGATGTCCAAGGTCTTTCCGAGAATGACGGCAAAAGCCAGGCCATGGCGAGCCGCGAGTTGGACGGCACGAGCTCAGTAGAATCAGCCATCGAGAGACCCTCGCAGTGTGCGCAAACGCCTCATTGTCTCAGAGACGCGACCGATGCGCTGGAACGATGTAGCTCAGTTTGTCAGAACACGGACACTGCGAGTTTGTATTCTAGGCTTCTAGCACGCGTGCCAAATGCAAGTACTGCGTGCGCAGTTCACGATAGCGGACGCGTTGAATCGTTTGATGGCAGAAATGGCCTCCTCGGCGGCGTTCGCCGCCAGTGGACCGTTGTAGATGAAGTATTCATGATTCCTTCAGTATCGAAAAATTCAGGTCACTTTGTGCACATTACATAGCGTCGCGCAGAGTCTGCACGAGCTGGTCTCGACGCGTCGCACGTCTCTTGCTGCTTGTATTCGGACAACTCTCGATACCGCTGGCGACTGTATTCAATTCCTGCACGCCGGCTGTGCTCGGTTTGTCCAGACCAGCACACTTTCAACCCATACGGCGGTGCTATCAGGAAACTCGAGCTCCTTCTGGTCATTGGCAGGGACGCGTCCAGGACGGTGTTGTCCGGACTCCGGAGACGAGAGATTGTACTAGACATGTCTCAGACTCTCAGACAGCCGAATGACCCATGAAATTACGCGATAGATTCAAGCTCTGGATGTTCTTTTGTATCCGCAGCCACTTGTTGGGCGTCCTCAATGACTTCTGGTCTCCCCAGACTTCAAAGATGAGCGGCACCGGACAGACACAATTCAGGCTCTGAAGCCGCCTCTCTGCGGTGGACTTGAGAGCGCGGCGAGGACAGTTTCTCATGTCCGCTTTTCTGAGAGCGTTCACTGTTCGATGAGCTTTGCCGACGCGTTGCCCAGCTCTTATTGACCGCAATCCATGCGTTGACATCGCAGAAGTCTGCAACCTGGAAATAGATTATAGATTCATAGCCGTCAGTCTCGTCTGCATCTGTGCCGCATGGCGTGGTCGAGCTTCTACCAGCCTGTATGTTTGTTCTGCTTAGCCCATGCAAGTCCAAGAGGATTGAGTGTCAGACTCCTCGTTCCAGCGCAAAACACCTCTAATCGTTGGCGCCGTACTGTCGACCAAGAAACGCTCGAGGCCTGACGAACTTTCGGATCAACAGAAGAGGCCAAAGCCCAAAGACAAGACACTGGAGAGCGCATCGGAAAGATGGGAAAGACGAGAGCTCACCGTCGCGCAGGACACTTGAAATGGGAACCCAAAGGCCCAATATCAAGACGTGAAAGAGCTTTTCGCCGCGCAGATTACTTGCACCAAGAAGCGCGTACCAGGGACAAGACGCCCCAGAGAGCGCACAGAGCATGCTACATGAGTATCTAGCAAAGCAATCAACGGTAGAACAAACGTTCCCGCCGCGCAGGAGACTTGAATCAAATCATAGAGGGGCTGTCAGTGCCTGTCACAGGCATTTCGATTCAACGACAGCAGGAAGAAAATAGCGAAGCCAGTGGTAGCAACTCAAACATCACCCTGATTGGTATCATTTGACGTTATCATTCTCCCTGTAATGGCTGTCTCTTTCTCGGATACAGGAGACTGGCTTGTCCGTACTGAACTCTCTCTGTCTTTGACTCTTTGGCAGGCCGCAGGCATTTGCAAGAGATTGTGGCCTTGTGGCAATCAGGCACCCTAGATGTCTGCGCGAGGCGCGTCCTTTTCGATCTGCAGCCAGAGTCACTCTTGCATCTCGGCGACACCCCTGTCTCAAGCGGATGCGATATCATAATTTCTGCAGTCGGCGTATGGCGTTGCTCTTCTCCATGGTTGCTCTCACTTCTACCATCTCCAGTCTGGTGTCTTTCGCAGACATTCGCAAGTGGAGTCCGGGCTAGCGACGATGCCTAGATCTCCAGGTGGCGATCCTGGATCACTGCTTGAGTACTTGTGCTGCTTGCTGGACTCCGTGCCTTTCGTAGAGTGTCACACAAGATTGCTGGTCTTGTATCGCGGCTCGCCCTTGTTGCCCTCGCGTTTGTTCAACTTTGTTGACTTATTGCTTGCTGCAGCTCATGCCACCACTGGCTGACCGCTTAGACCTTGTCAAGTTGTAGTTGCGGTGTAGCAAGACTAGTCGCCTAGAGGCCTCTCCCACTAGAACATCTTTGAGATGCTGACGTATCGTCGTCAGGGTACCGCCCTCCTCCTTAACTGCTTTCACTCGCGCCGCCTCCAGCCCTTGTTCCGGTCATATCATTTGGAATCTCGTAGAAGGGTTGTTGTCATACGACGTTGTCTTTCAATCTTTGTGGCCGCGCCTTCTGTCCTGGACGTGTGATCTTTCTTCCGGTTATGTACTGGAGTTGTCGGTCCCAGGCGACACTTGCTCGTCGGTGTACCTTCTGGCTTTGGCATGGTCGCGTAGAAGGTCTGCTACTGCCCTATCTGTACGAAGTCAGCTGTTTTGTATTGGACAATCGGTCGAACGGTCACGTGTAGCGTGGTGATTAGGCTGGCATCTTCACTGTTCAGATTAAAAGCTGGCATTTTCAGCTATGAGTTGTTTGCAGAGCGCCTCAAACGAGTTCAGCCGCGCCTGGAATTCGTCCAGTTGCTTTCTTGATGTCGTCTTATTGATAAGGCTTGATAGTTCTCATGATTCGATCAGCGGTCAGATGTTGGCGATGGCAGCTTGAGTGTAGTTCAGCTGGAGTGGGAGGAGAAGTGAAGTTGAAGAATCCCAAAGAGGAAGGTGCAATTTCGACAATATTTTACTGACTAGTTGCAGGCTCGCTTCTCAGAACTCATGACGAGTCTATGAGCATTGGATCACCACGCTGGTTAAGCTCCCGCAGTACGCTTTTGACTACATCTCTGTCGAGGAGCGTCTCTACGTGTTCGACTGCACCATCGACCTCCTCCACACCCTCGTCGAACACACCCCTCGATCTGACGACTGCAACAACCCACTTGAGCCAACGCCTGGCTTCATCATCAACCTCCACCGCATCCTCATCGAGTACACCAATCAATCTGACGACCGCTACAACCCACTCGGGCCAACGCCTGGCTTCTCCGTCCACGCCATCCGCATTCCCACCGAGCACACCCGTTGCCCTGAGTGCCGCCAGAACCCATTCGAGCCGATGCCTGGGCCCAGCGACATATACGAGAGAACAGCGCGCCGCCGCGTCTGTGCAAAGACCGACAATGGTCAAGGGACGGACAAACGCCCGGAAGATATGTTTTGTTCCCGCACAGCACTCCGCCACTTCTGTGCGAAGGCTGCTAGGAACTCAGGACCTCTAACGTGTGACGGCGCAAGTCCATTCGCCGAGGTCATAGCTGGAGCAACTCAACAGGAGCACCCGACGGGCCTGGATTGCCTGCAAGATCCTGTATCCCTCGACACCACTGCAATCAATGGTGCAATCTTCGCCCAAAGAAGTGCCACCCCGCCAGGAACAGAGCCCGTGAGCCCCGTACACGGTAAACCTGCTGCCGCCAGATCCATATTCGCTTGCTGCAGTCTTGATCGACCGCCAAGAACTTCGAATCAAGAAGTCTGCGCCTTGCTGCAGTACCGGGAAGACGAACGACACCAAGACACAGCTGATGATACCCACCTCAACGCATCAAGAGTCTGGAACAGAGCACCTTCCAGCAAGCGGCAAGCCAAGAGCTCCATTGGACAGCCCGCTTCTGTGCGAACGGCGACAAAGGCCCAAAGAATATCACAGATTAGTCTGGCAGTCGACACTCCTCAGGTTCATACTGTCACAGTACTGTCAGCAGAGTGTCCGAGACCCTGTATTGCGGCAACTATGACAACTCACAAGGCTGCCTCAAGCGCGCAGCTTACTGATCACCGAAGATGCAATTCGAGTACGGCCCCGCCCCCGATTACGCCTCTCTCAACGCCCCATTCAAAGGTTCCGATATCACCTCTACCTCCAATCAATCGTCATTTCGGATCCGAAAGCAACGCTTCGCACCGTGGACATTACCCATCGTGGCCGACTCAGTCTCGTTCAGCCGCGAATAAAGAAGCAGCCAAAGACCATGGTGATAGCGTTGTGGAAGGCAGTCAGTGCCGCCCTTCCTATCCGACTGTGGCGCCGGTCCCGCGCTTTGTCGATCTTTTCGAACACCATCCTGTGGACGCTGAAGACTGGATCATGCAAGCACCTGGTAAGGAACCGGCGCTGCGCTTTGTCAACCCTTCAAAGCACTATACTGTGGACGATGAAGACTGGATTATGCAAGCACCTGGTAAGGAACCAGCGCTGCGCTTTGTCAACCCTTCAAAGCACCGTAATGTGGACGATGCAGACTGGATTATGCAAGCACCTGGTGAGGAACCGGCGCTGCGCTTTGTCAACCCTTTAAAGCACCGTAATGTGGACGATGCAGACTGGATTATGCAAGCACCTGGTAGAGACGCCTTCTCTCCACCCACAGTGGTGGCAGAGTACTCATCACAACCACCTCACGATTATTTGGCGGCATCCGAAAAGGCAGTTCAAGACACTGAGAGCCCCATGAACGGCACTCAGCGCCGCTTATCGGTGGCATCGCTTTCATGCCATGTCGACACAACAGGGTGTCGACCGCTCAGAAGATTATAATGGCGTGTGGAAGATGCAGGCTGAAGCACGCGGAACCCGGTATCAGCGCCTTCTCTTAGTCCACTATGGTAGTAGCGTTGCCATTACATAGCAACTGTACAACGTATGAAACATCTCCTACCGGGTCTCTTGGCTCCGGCTCGCAGGATACACGAGGCTCACTGTCATTTGAAATTTACGAGTGGGCTTCTACGGTTCTGTATGCCTCGAGGCTGGAGAATTGATGGCAATGGAAAAGTCTTCGTGAAGTGGAAACACTGCTAACGTAAAGCAAACTCAAAGACGAGCATCTTCCCGTCGCCATCGCTCCATCTTCTAGACATACTTCATCATGAGCACCACGACAATTTCTAGGCTCAGGTGTCTTGACATTGCGCCTCATCGACTTTGCCAGTTTCGTCGACTGATGCTCGTGTCCTCTCGCGTCTATTGCTCCGACCGTAGTTTCTGATCGACAGACGGTCTGGGACGGCATGGCTGACTTGATGCTCGCGAATATGGTAGATTATACCCAGATCCTCTTGCTCGCAAGATCCATCGCAAAAACCCTTACAGACAGATAATGGAGCCACGCAGCGTGGGTTGTGGCACGCTACGTCTGCAGTCTTCCATGAGCCCAAGTTGTTGAAATATAGGGCTCAAGTCACCCCCAGCCGTTACATACTGGCGTATGCTGAGGCAAGGTGTCCAGGGGCTCATGGCTGCTCTGCAACACCACCGTCGCGAAGTTGTAGCTTCAGGTGAAGTGGATCCATTGCTGTGCCCCGGTCGCCCAGCGCCATGATGGCCATCATTATCACGGTCTTCCGGAATCCCATCAGCTGCGCTCATTGTCGTAGGGGGCCTAGGAGCGCTTGCTTGTAATTTCCTTGGAAGAAAGACGGATCCAGAGCTGAAAGGTGAGTGATTCGATTTGCGAAACAGGTCTAGGGGGTTGCGCTCGGAGTGGTCAATGGAGTCGGACAGTGCGATTAGCAGAAGGAGATTGGACGATGCTGGGCGGATTGTGAAGTCTCCGTGTGAGTGATTTGTCCGGCGAGCAACGACGGAGCCTCACTCGTAGGTGGTCCCACCTAAGTATGCCGTACAGTGTACTCATGCACCTGATCAGTAGTGCAGAGCTACAAGTCTTCAAGAACATACCCCTGACATGGAAGTGCATGAAAAGCAGGACGGAGGCGTCTGTAGAAGCTGGTATATTGAGATATATACTACCGTCGATCCAGTGTCTCTTGTATGCAGGAACCGACCCTCCAGGGGAGTAATACTTTGGGATTTCTGACGCAGTGTGCCGGTGTGCCCTTGCAAGCGGCAACATACTTCATCACCGCTGTAGGGAGATACGTAGATCCAAGTCTATCGCCAATGCGCCCTCCATCTTGATAGGCGGTCTGCTCTCTGCCTCCGTGTTGATGTGTCCGCTGACTTCGACATAGTGCAAGCACAGGGCGATACTACAGCAGCTCCGCTGGGAGCAGTCTTGCCACCTCAAGACTGATATGGTGAAAAGAACTGCGACTGGACATACAGCTACCAATGTGCAAGGCGTGAACACAGTGAGAGTGAACAGAGCCGCATCCGACCAGCCTGGACGCGCAGCCGTTGGTAAAGCAAGTGTCAGACCCTCGCACGTGCCCCAGCTATAGGCTGGCGTACCGCACGCTTCACCGCGCTATCCTGAGGCCCCTATACTTGCACGAGTCATAAGTCACGTGTTCTCAGCGGGCTGGTCCGTGGCGCTAGCTGCACAGGCCTCCTAGAATCTTTAAAACTCGAGCCAGAGCTCTGAGATTTCCTCTTTCTTTCTTCTTCTTCTTCATACTTAGTGAGTCTTCCCTTCCCCCCTACCATACTTCTGACCACCTGCTAACATCTCTCTAGCCTTGTCATTCCCTTACCAGCTCCTGAATTGGTTTGGGGGTAGGGCGTCGTCCTGCATTGCACATCGCAGTGACTGCCCTAGGCCATCATCTTCGGGTGGTGAGCATGGCGCAATTTTTGATGGCTACTGCCTACTTATTGTTATTGCTTGCTGACTTATTCTTATGCTCGCTGCATGTCGTCGGGGCTGGTCCCCGACGCAATTTTTTGAACCCAACATCTATCTTTTCATCAATGTTCTTGCATCGTGCGAGATACTGAAGAAGAGTCTGACTGTCGATGTTGCTGTTTGCTTCAATTGTTCCCATTCTGAGGTATACTGAGGTACTGTTGGTTGGTCATGCTGTTGCCGGCTCAGTCTCTGCGCCCGCGTGTGGTGTTGGTGTAGGCTGGTGGCATTGGGAAGAGCAGTCTGCAATTAAGTCTTGGACGATATTGACGAGAGCATTTTGGGTCATTTCAATTGGACATGTATCACTCTGAACTATTCTCAAACACGACGAGGGCTTCATAGATGTCGCTCTGTCGGATGTCCGTTGAGCCCGGTCTGGCCTTCGCAAGGCGCTCTCATCACGCTCTCATCAAGACTTGTCATCGTCTGCTGACCTCCTCTTTCCAGACTCTCCATGTCCATCAGCCCGTATGCTTGTGTCTAGGCTATTTCATTGATTTGTGTGCTTCGTGCGTGTCTTGGAGGAGGAGTTGGCGACGCGAGGCCGGCCGCCGGTCGCGATCTTCTCGAAGCTTGTCAGACGTAAGTCTCGGAGGGCGCGGCTTGGTGCATTGTGTGGGTACGCAGAAGCATCGCCGTTGCTCTCTCAGCGCCAATTGAAGCTCTCGTAGTAGCTGCTGTCTTTCAGATTGAGGGTGTGCCGCCGGTCGAGGACCATGAAGAAGTTTGAACTTTCTCGACTGTGGCGGATATTCGCCAGGGAGGAGTCGCAGGATGGAAGAGGGAGTCGTGGGCGGTGACTTGCAGCGTCGATAGCCGAATCCAAGTGTTTTCTTTCGTGCCTGACTCTGTAAACTGTACTGCGGTCTTCATCGTCGGCGTCGTGACTGGTCCTGATCATACTCGTCGCCTGTGAGCACCGGCACGCGTTGGAAACATCAGCAAGAACACCGACGCGTCGGTCTCATCGACAAAAACACCACACGTACTCTCCGACATCATTGAAAGAAGACTTCACCGTCCAGTGAGCGCGAGAACTATCCTGCAGTCCTACCAATCGCCCATCTGGCGTGAATGCCTCCATCCGCTCGGCGCCAATCCTCCTGCTTCACTGAGACCATCTGCACAATTCGCATCAAGTATTACACTGCTACGACTTAGCGGTCTATGCTGACGTATAAAACTTCACATTGCAGGTCCTTTGCCCTCTGAAGATTCTTCGATGGTCTCGCCAGCAGCCAGAACTAGTCTTCACGGCCTAATCGACTGTAGTACAAGAAAGAGCAAGAGAATAACAGATACGCACGCGTCGGGCGAGATCGCGAAGGCACAAGTATAAGAAGACCGAGCGAGCAGCGCTGCAGCTCGAGAATTTCGAATTCCCGCCATCCACTCTCTGAGTCTTCAGATTACCCTTGTTCGCTTCGGCTCCTCCTCTGAACACGCGTATTCATTGTGCGGCGCAGCAAACACATGCTCTGTGGAAACAAAGCCGGCGGAGATTGCGTTTCTCGTGAACTCTTCGGTCAACGGTGAACGGCGTCTTCTCATCTGCGCACTCACAATGTATGGCTACAGCGTATAGCCGGGTATTTGAGCCAAAAGATGGAATAGCGCGTAAGAGTTCCCCGTTCAGCAGGCAGAAGGCTCGCCATCGCCCCAGTCGTCTTGAACCGTCTACCATGGCGTACCACTCCCAGCATCGGATGCTGGTCAAGTAGAGCGGATAAGTGTTCCCGTGCGCATCTATTTGGACATCGAAGACTAGGACGACTGGAATGAGCTCGATCTCAGTGTCATACTGAGGCTGACACTGGCATCTCGGACAGCATCTACATGACTATGCACGACCTGTTCCACACGAACGAACGCGCCACTGCCCTCCTCGCCACCACGGTCCGTTCGAATCGCCCTTCGGTCTCGGCCATAAAACGATCTTTGGACACGTCCCCGTCATACGCGACGACGAGTAGCCTCGTATTGTCGACCACGTCCTCCAAATGATCAACGCGATCCGTCGACTGCCGTCCGATACGTAGCAGCACATTCAAGCCGCTAGAAACGAGCACGAAGACGCGAAGACTAGGTACTACCGCTATTGCGACTCCAAGCCGGGGGCTTTGAGGAATTCGTTCAAGAAATTATGAAGATGGCAGGGTGATGGACAAGGCAACAAGATGTATCATACTATGGAGAACCCTTTCGTTCGCCTCATGTCAGGGGCGAGGGAAAGAACAACACCTTATAGGAGATGCAAAGCTGCCGAAGGACAAGTCGAGGTTTACTTGAGATTGAGGATAGGTTCAGCTTGGTGGCAGGTATGACACTGTAGTAGGGCGTGCCAGGTTCCTGATTGGAGCAGACATAGAGGGCGCTGTGAGGCGATGCAAATGCAGAAGCAGTATTCGAGGCGCGACTACGAAATCTACCACTGAGAAGGATGTGCCGAATGTCGAACCCAGAACAGGTCTTCTTAGTTGGAACTTTGCTGCGGCAAGACGACCGCCACGGTCCCGGTCGCCCAGCTTTTCGGTAGGGATGTCACAAACAAGCAGAACACCGCCAATACGCGTAGACATAGTTCTTCTGTCTCGCCCTGTGGTTGCGCTGATGAATTACTGCCAGCCTCCTGGGTCTCCTGGCCTGCTTCGATCCTATCGAGATGATGTTCAAATGTTGCACCTGATGACCGTCGCTGGATCCTCGTTCACTCACTTGCACATATCTGAGAAGCACCTACAGTTTGTGCAGCATCACGGCATGATCTGACTCAATTGACATAATTTAGCATCTATGAACTGCTTCAAATATCCCTATCTCGCCCTACTCTTGTTGATAGACTGGCGACCTGCCGCCAACTCGGCCCGTTGTGATGTTGTTGAGGTGCCGTGAGATGGGCGACCGCGGGTGAGAAGGACATCGCCGTGACTGTGGCTCGTATTAGCTTCTCGCCTGGTACTAGACTCTCACGCTGTTTTCAAGTGCGAACTCACCGTCAGGGGTCCGAAAGGGGTTTGTTCACGGGGTTTTCTCCCCGGAGGCGCGGTGATGGTCTAGAGTCTCGTCGAGTCAGCTCTGTGAACACATTGAATGTAATGAATGGGAATGAACTCACGTAAAAGGCCCCTTGGGTGCCTCAAGCCCATGGGTTGATGCGCGCTCTGAGCAGCAGCAGCCAAACAAACACCCAGACTTCGCAAGGGAAGTCGTCTGGCTCCGAGAAGCACTCGGAGCAGCTCATCGTGCAGTGACCGCACTGCACGCAGAGGAAAACGCGGCCCTCGTTCTCGGCGCCGCAGGCGCAGCAAACCCACGCCATGATGAGATTGTGGATCTGTGACGTGGTGAGCAGATATCCCCCTCACCTTGTCTCCACAAGAATGTTACTTACTATGGTGTTGATGGTGGTGATGGTGGTGGTCGGAAGCTGTTGTTGTTGGGAATGGTGGTCCGAACTTTTCAAAATTGATGGTTTTCCCTGAGAAGAGAGAGGCGAGAAATTTGCACCGACTTTGGACACCTGACGCACGGTTGCAAGTGGAAAATGCCGACCCTCTATTGTAACTATGGACTAGACGGCGGTGAGGCGTGAAGCAACAACGAGGATTAGCGAGTATGGAAAGGAGGAAGCTTCTTCTCCAGGATACCGCGCGAGGCAGTAGACTGATGAAAGAGAGGTCGCATCAGCTGGAGGCAGTGCAATACCAGCGACACGGTGCCACCAGACATGAGCAAAGCTCAGCGGCCTGGCGGCAGGTACCAAAAATTGGAGTCAAAAAGGCTTCGACCCGCAGAAGAGTGAGTTAGTGGACCTGCCGAGAGCAAGAAACAGACCACCAACCGTACACCCTATCAACGGCTGTCGAATGAAGTATGAGAGGAAAAGAAAGAGGAATTCTCGAGGAGCGGCGCCGAGTTTTGATGTTTTCGTGCTGGACCGTGCGCTACTACGTAAGCACGTACCTTAGTCAGTCCGCGCGCGCGGTGGTCAGGGCAACGGGGAGCTGCGGGCCTACGCGCCACGACGAAGCGACTTCGGCCGGCTATCACATGCCGAAATCATGGGCCCGATCAATCTTGAACGCGTCTTCGGCCTACTCGGGGTGGTGGACTTGCAAACGAGGCATTGGTGTACGCCTGTTACTAGTCATTGGCTTCTATTACTTGATGGCCCTCTTTCAGAAGAGACTGGGCCGTGAAGAGTTTGAGAGCTACTGACCAGACAACAGCGAAGCTTGAAGATCAAAAGAGGTGGAGCGCACGCTTGGTTGAGGAAGCAGACCGGCTGCTGCGCTGCATTACATTGGATGGCAGGAAGTCAAAGTCTGGAGAACACAAATAGAAAGAGCCGAGATTCGTGAGATCTCCGAGGAAATGAGAAAAATACTGGTTGACCACTGGCATGATGCAGTCACGCGAGAACGCCCGATCACACACGCCATGAACTGTTGGCGCATTTCTATTGCAGGTAATAACACAGGCTCGCACATCCATAGCTTTTGCGCCCCCCACTCCGAATCTTCCAGTCCGCCGTGACGCCTACGAAAGTCAGTCGACACCCGCCGCTGCTACCCAATACCTCTTGCGAGCTCGAATGCCCCAGCATACCATTGTAAGCGCCACACGCAGACCTAGCTGTCCTCGGTCACCGGGACGAAGTCAGCTCTCGGACTCGTTGTTGCACAGGTCTTTCGGATAGAAACGATTCGTGGAGTCGACGACGAAATGGTGCAAATATCCGAAGATCAAAACTGGCGAGAAAGGGTAGATACTTCCTCGCAACATGAGATTGTTTTCTGTAAGAGATATTCGACGTGCCCTGCATGCTGGCGAAGAAGCTTCAAGATTCATATCATCACGCGCCGCATCTTGAGCAAGAAATGAGAAGAAAACGACTGTGTTGGGGGTCTTGGGGAGTGGGTAGTGGCTCGAATATGATTTCAAGACATCAGATGAAGGCTGACCTGGACGACGTGGAAGTGCGATTATGCTTGATCAAGCAATATCAGCTCAGCGGTATTGATTGTTCTTCATCAGATGGACTCGCCCTGCTGGAAACACTCAAGGTATCTCAGCCTATGTGGTCACAGCCGCAGAAGCATAACGTACTTCCGACCAAGCACCAACGTTCAAAGCGGACTCCTGACATCGTGAAGGAAGCGGACCTCAGACAATAATGGACAAGAGTGACGTGGTATTCTTGCAAACTTAAGTGCCTCAGTGCACCGGCAGAAAGACCGAGGATTCGAAATCCGGATCACTGAAAGACGCTCGCGTTGCAGATGACGTTCGGATGAGCGTATCAAACATCAGTTCACGAGTCAACCTTTGGGATGCCGCTCAGGATCCAGCGCTCTTGTCATTCGAGTTTTGAGGTCCTTGCGGAGGGCCTGATGTGAAGCTCCTTGGGAACCAGCAGATACAGGAATGTGGAGACTGCCGACGATACCAAACAATGCTTGCACTCTCCTTTCATCACGTATCAAGACTGGCGGCTTGGACAAGAGAGTCTCTCGTCGCTTGGCAGCTTGGGACAGTATGCTAATTTCTGTGTCAAGTTTTGTTCTCGCCACATATTCCACGGAAGCGAGTGAAGACCGGAGATTCTCTATCTCAGCAGCGGAAACATATATCAATGCATTAGACGCTCGGAAATGGCTCTCTCGCGCTTTCTCAAGGCAAGATGAGCTCTGGCTCTAAACCTTGAGTCAGCTTGCCTACTTCTCCTCCAAAATCCAGCCCAGAGACGGAGCTATGAGTCTCCATATTATCAGTAGCCCTGTCGAAATACTTCTTACTTCTCATGCTGTCATAAATCATGCCATCAAGAAGCTCCCCAAGCCGGAGTTCCTAGCACAATACCCTGGTTTGACGGAACATGGATTGGGTCTATCTCAAGGGATCAGGAAGAGTCTTTGGAGCTTCAATGGGTTAAAGCCCAGTAAATTCTGTCGGTGGAGATCATGACGACGACCATAGTGCAACTTGGCTAGTGTGAACTCATTGGCATGTGAAAGCCGAGCGGGGTGAAGTTGGGATAGACTTCACTTGGGGTCCGCACGGACTGCCGAGGGACCTATGCTGGACCCACTTGGCGTGATCATTGAAATCGTATCTTTCACGCCTGCACGGTATGTCTCGTGCTGCGTGAGACATCAAACACATTTCATCCGCCATAACTTGCTGCATACTAACTCTGTGATTGAGTGGAAGGAGACTGGGCGCGATCCGATATCGGAAGACTACGTCACTTGCGACATTACACTTCGAATGAGCTTTTCACTCCCCCACATCAAGCACGATTCATCCATCTGCATCAAAATAGCGGAAACTCTTCCATTGGACCATTAAAGACCACCAGTATTACCAATAGGTCCAGGGGTTGCAAGTGAAAAGGCTTCGCCAGCCTGGAAACCATCTTCTCCGGCCAAGCTGTAGAATACCAGAGCATCTCATTAAGTTATCTCATCTGATCCTTCGACGATCATCAGAAATGGCTTCAATAGCTATTCCAAAAGCCGGTCTGATGGTGGTGGATATGCAAGAGGACTTCTGCGAGCCCAGTGGGGCGCTTGCTGTTAAAGGGGGCCGCGAGCTTGCGCCGATCATCAACGAGCTTCTTGCAAGACCAGGTAGGTGACTGTCTTTTTTCCGAGACTATTGAATATCATTGAACAGCATCTTGCTGACCTTTTATGTCTACAGGTTTCGTGGTCAAGGTCGCGTCTCGAGACTTTCATCCCCGCGGCCACATCTCCTTCGCCTCTTCCCATGCCGGGGCTGAGGCCTTCAAATCGTCACATACCATCAAAAACCCCGAGAATGAAGCGGAGACTCAGACCACGTACACCCGCGTCCGATAATATTTCTCTTCAATGAAGTTCCGCTGCTAACGACTCTTCCAGGCTTCTTTGGCCCGACCACTGCGTCCAAGGCACTTCTGGCTGCGAGCTGATCCCCGAACTCCACGCAAATAAGCTCACATACGTCGTCGACAAGGGCACTGATAACCGTGCTGAATCGTACTCAGCCTTCGGCCCGCCTTTTCGCAACCCCAAGTATGGCACAACGGGTCTGGAGAAGTACCTGAGGGACGCTGGAGTCACTCACTTGTTCGTTGTGGGCCTCGCTTTCGATTTCTGCGTGCGATCCACTGCTCTGGATGCAGCCGAGTTAGGATTCAACACATTTGTGATCCAGGAAGCGACGAACTCCGTAATGCGTTGGGAGGAGGCAAGGGCTTCCACGGGCAAGGAGTTTGCGGAGAAAGGCGTGAAACTCATCACCCTAGATTCAGAGGAACTCAAGATGGTAAACTAAGAGTTGTCAGATCCTTGTGGGTTGCCCGTCCACGCTCGCGACTTACAATAACCACAAGAAAGAGGAGTAGAATATCACGGTGCGCAAGAAAACCTTCAATTGATGCTCCCTGACGGAACAGCTACTGCACATTGACATTTGCAAAACTCAAGTACAATCTCAACAAGCCACACGAACTCTGCACAGTTTCACTGAACGAGCGGTCCATTGCTACGGAATTGAATTCCTCTGCAACCTGTGGTGTCACTATTTGCTCCATGGAGACGGTCACATGCGCATAGAGTGCATTTGGGCGGAATTATAGTCATTTTTGATACTCGATGCGTTGCCAGGCCTAAGATCACTTCCACGTCGCATCACGGGACTCACACGGAGCAGTTTTCTACATTCGCAACGGACATGCCGCATGCAGTCTTCACTTAACTAACAAAGCCGGTAGCAGAATATACCAACCGAAAGGGCTCGATAGACAAAGAACATTCGCTCGAAAGTATCAGTGTTTCAGACAAAGAACAGCAATCCCATCATGGTTATTCTCTTTGATCGATCAAACGATTCTCGATGCTTAGAGAGTTCTTCTTGGTTTCAATACTCATCGCATACCTGGACGAGATATGCGCATTCACGAAGCAACGCAACTATGGAGGGAAGAAAGTCTCGACGTCTGCAACATCGGCCACCATCTCATGGGGCAATGTCAGAGTATCATTTCAAACGCAAAGACCCAAAGAGGAATGCCTCGACAAGAGCTGCCCCGGCGAGAACTACGTTGCAAAGTTCTGGTTCCAAAAGGAGGTCGGACCACGCTGATGAACCAGAGAGCGAAGGTGGGAGATCCAAGAGGGGTCGCAATAGTGGCAGTGGACGGCGACAGGACAACGAGATAACGCAGAGTGAACCAAGCCAAGAGGTTCACGCGAATGGCTCTCAACGATTGAGACGTTCTGGAGAGGCTGCCGAGGCGGAAGCGTCACACGAGGGCACTGATTCATATCGAGACAGTACATATCAGATCCCGCGAAAGCAGCCGAATGATCCAACGGAAGATGATGGTAGGCCTGAAGTTGACGATGAAAATAATGCCGCTAGGGATCGAGATGTCAATGATGGTCTAAGAGAGGAACATGGCCTTTTACGGGGCGGAATCCATTGCGATGGCCAAGAAGAGCCGCACTCCAATTCTCCGAGGTCAGATCATGCGCCAACTTCCGCGATCGATCAACCAGAAAGCGAGCACGCTAAAGCTCACGGAGCCTTTTTCGACGAATTGTATGCGCGAATTCCAGGAGATCGCGCATGGGAAACGCCGTTGTGGCGATATGCCGAGTTCGTAACAGCCAGGGATCATTTCAACGAAGTGAGCCTTTACCAGAAGATCGATATGCTAAAATCAATTCTGGAAACACATGGAGTAAACGACGATTGGTCCTTGGCTCCGCCTTTCAAGCGCTATGTGGATGGAGATTTGCTTCCGGAAGATGCTTGGCCTCCACTACAAGAAGAACTCGAGAAGATGTGGGAAGATATGAGGACTGAACTTGTTACGAGACGGGCTTCTCGTCACGCGATACAAGAATTCGACGCCATGTGCCAGAAGGCTTCAGCGCAGGGCTACCTGTTTGAACTTCCAGAGGCAGAAGGAAGGCAACCCGACGACTATGTCGAAAATGAACTCCGTCCAGTTTTCATTCAGGAAGCAACAAACTTCTATGAACCCCACTGGAACAACGACGTGAAGGAACATGGCCAAGATTCCTACGATAGCATGAAGGCTAGCGTGAGGAGCGGACTGCTTCCGTGGGGCCCAGAGGAGGACAGATGGCGGACTCGTTGGGCTGAGATGGGACAGGTTTTACAAGATCACAATTCAGATGCCCGTAGCCTCGGCCGATTTCAAGGTCTTCATAACATTGCAGAGCATGACTTCAGGCTGTATGGAGACTTACTTAGGCCCTACCAGTTCGACGACAGCTTCTCCAACAAGCTACCAGAGTACTGTGCACAGTTGGATAAGTTCTTGTCAGGACAGAGATACGCGAATCGGGACAAAGCGTGGATCCAGGCCATTGAGGATGCCAGATATCTGGACGAACACGCCAAACTGAGGGAAGACTTCCAGTACAATGTGAAGGGCAGCAAGGAACTCTCAAGACCACCCAGATCACATTTTAATCGTGTGCCTCCGGGAGTTACGTCCAAACAACACTCGAGAGCGGTGGGCCCGCGACAGGACCTCGGTGGCTTCTGGAACTTCAAAGGTGCCCTGGGTAGCGGGATGTGTGGATCTGCCTCTCTTTGGGCGAGAGAAGACCATCACGCCCGCATAGTTGAACGCATCGTCGTCAAAGACAGTCAACTTCTTCAAAATATGGATTGGAACAGTTCGGCCAACTGGTACGGCGATATACATATGCGAATTCCATATGAGTGGATAACCAATCGCTGGCTGAAAGCCTGCGAGGAATCTATTAACGTCGTCGAGTGCAAGAAAGCCTACTCCATCTACGATGAGTTGCATATGTATCGGGTGTATCTTGAGTACTGCCCGCACGGCACATTGGAGGATCTCATTGCAAGACACGATCGGCTACGAAGACCTGAAATAAGAGCTTTTGATGGCCAGAGAATACCGCAGTAAGGATTTCATCTTTCATGAGCAGCAGGATACTGACAATGTCGCAGTCGTATTCCAGTAAGGGCTCTGTGGGCGATATTCGAAGCTCTGGTGTCGGCGGTCTGCCTCATGCGGCACGGTCGTCTGCCGGATCAGGATGAGCGAAGGACTACTCCTGACCACAGGACTATCCTCCACTTGGATATCAAGCCTGAGAATGGTACGCTAAACGATAGCAGGAAGATAGTAGTGGCTGACTAAGATCGCAGTCCTTTTAGCGGAGCCAAATAAGGAGCTGTGGCCAGGCATACCGGTGCCAAAGGTTTGTCTCGGGGGACTTCCATGTCTCTATTGTTCATCACTGAACTTTTTAGGTCGCCGATTTCGGTATAGCTATCATTGCTATGACCGACGAAGATGCACCATATGGGGACGGATCGGGTACAAGAGGATATTTTCCTCCGGTAGGAAGCAATGACAGACGAAGGCGATTATCCACTAACTGAAGTAACAGGAGCAAGCGCTTTTGAGCTACGAATATCATCCTGAGTGGTACCGCAGGTACAGAATGTCTACCGCTAGCGATGTTTGGAGTATTGGACGGACGATGCTTTCGCTGATGAAAATCACTCAAGTTGAGACCATCATGTACGAAGAGTACAAGTACTTCGACTTCGACCGGGGGGGAGACGTCCCAGAGTTTGGGGATGCAGAAGAGATATACCCTGCGGCCCTTTGCGATCTGGTCAAGGCATGCTTGCAAAGACTTCCACCAGATCGCATTCCAGTAGATCAGCTGTGGAGCAACATTCACATGCATGTTGCAAGCTGTGAGGGCCTCAGTGCGAGGGTCATGAAGCTTGACCCGGAGGATCCTAATGAGTTGCTGGATTACAAAGAGGACCAGTATACGCTGTTCACGAGAACAGGATGAAGCCTGAAATTGTCATTACGATTTCTCAGAAGTGTATTTATCCCCTACGGAGGGCTATTTGTTGTTCCAGGTGAAGTTCCGTGCGGCATTTTCTTCCTTGGGCGGAATTTCTCACGAGTACTTCGGCTTTCGACTTCACCACAAAACAGCAAACATCACCCTCACACTCTCCAACGAACACGAGACTGAAAGACCTCATCTAAATTTTCTAAGCTCATCACATCATCAATCGGTATGCCGTTTTCCATTACGCTCCTGTACGTTAATCTAATTTACTCGCTAGAAAATGGCCCAGCAATCCCTCCGCTCCCAGCTTCAGAACCTCGCAAACGACTATGAGCAGCTCCAAGATCAGTATCATAGGACGCGCACCGATCTCCAAGACTTGGCGGCCCACCACGCTGAGCTGCAGGACGATTGCGAGCGGTCCGGCAGCGACCTCGCGGAGATGCGCGAGGAAGAAGATGCTCGCGCCGCGCTCGCGGCCATCCGCAACCACGACGTGATCTACATGCTCGCAGAGAGGAACACGGAGCGCGACGACAAGAAGTACTGGCGCAAGCGGTACGAAGAAGAGCTGAAGAAGACCGTGCGGATGGAGGAGAAGGTGAAGGCGATGGTTAGTTCTCTCAAGCATGATATGTGATGGTAGTTTGACTGATATGTGATAGTACAAGGAGCTGCAGAAGCATGAGAACTTGAATCACACCAAGGTGGGTGAGATGATGACGGAGATGATGGAGGAGATGGACAATAAGTGATTACGTAGCGCAGAGACTGCAGCACCAGATAGCCCATGAAAGGGGCGCGCTCCGCTGCCGCGGCGACGATCCACTCGATCCTGATGGATCGAACGTTAGGTCTCATCCAGGCGTTACAGGAATATTCATGATTCAAACGAGTCGGCCGTAAGTTTCTGCAAACAAGCCAGTTGACAAAGAAAACAGCTCGCCACAAAGCCAACAGACCAGCGCACGCTGACTCAAGACCTCTTTGTTGTCCGAAACGCTCTTGCCGCAAGTAATGTCTTCAGAGTTGACCATAATCATCTAAACTGATGCCAGAGTGTCATTGACTTAGTTGGACAGCATGGAGAACGCAACCCTAGCTAACTCGCGACCTCGTCGTTCACCCAAGCCTATCAAACGTCTGATAAATGAGCAAGATGATAGTCGTCAGACGAAGAAACAGAAGCTCGAACCTCCACCAAAGAGCGTTAAGCCAAGTCGGAGTAAAACAAAAACGACTCGCAAAGCCGCTAAAACAGATCCATTCCAGCAGCACGATAATAACGGCGCAAGACATGATGAGGATGAAGAGATGGAAACACGAGATAGCGGTTCAGAGAAACAGCAGCAGAGCGCCAGATCGAAAGATCCTGCCGAGGAAGATGAACAGGTCGAAGGCGAAGAAAGCAATGCATCGCACGCAAACGCAGATGGGAACAAGCAGAGCGCAAGTCCTGAACAGCCTTCGAATGATGAAGCCGATGAAGGGCAGGATTTGGACGAACAACCTCTTAACGCTGTTGGAGATGTCTCGGGCCAGAACGATGCAGAAATGTCGAGCCCTGACGGACTCGGAATCACCACTAGAAGGGATCAGGAAATGACCGTACTGCCAGCGGCTATCAAGCATCCCGGAGCACAAGAGGCAGCGCCACCTGGAGTACCTGCTTCGGACAAGGCGCAGAGCCAGGTAGAGGAGAATCAAGCATTGGATGGCTCAGAAAATTTGCTTGTATCGCAAGGAAATCAAGGACAAGAGCAGCTGCGTGACCCAACGCAGCGCAACCTACCTAGAGCCAGCACATTCTCTCCCCCAAGCCTGTCTTTGCCTGCGCAGAAGCCGTCCAGACGTTTTTCAGACATATCGAGATCCGTCCAGCCGAAACATGCTCAGCAAAGGCCATCAGCAGGTAGTGTACAGCAAGATCTTGTGCAGACGCCAGCTATTTCTAGAGACCCTCGACTCTCAGCTCCATATTTAGGCTCGTCTTTGGGAAATAGGCGCCAGTCTCCGACTGTGCCAGCCGGACGAAGTGGAAAAGCTCCCGAGCAATCTCTTTCAGATCCACACAGCCGTTCTCGTCAAACTGCAGCACAGGTAGGACAAAAAGAACTAGCTCAAGAGAACTTCTCCCAAGAGCATCAGAGTCTGTCAACTCCCTTGGTCCCAAATGCAAATCCTCAATCTCCACCCCAACCCCAACCCCAACCTCAACCTCAACCCAATGTCTCTCTCCAGGCCAATCAACCGCCGACATCACAACCGAGACATCCTACGGATGAACAGAAGAAATTTGCAATGCTTAACCAGCTGCAGCAGATGGGAAATCATTTGAGCGGTCGCGCGGATATAGACGCCAGCACGATGCAGCATTTCAAACAAATTCACATGGAAGCCGAAACGCTTGCGCCAAGTTTTGCGTTTGAGGTCCCTGGCATCCAGGCTGGAATGCCGCCTGCGCATTATGTGTTGCGAGTTCTGCGACCACGGCTCTCAGAAGCCTTCAAGCAGATGTGTGCTGCTGAATGGGGTGATGCGATACGAAACATGGAGATGAATTGGGGACGCAACGCCGCAGATAAGGTACGACGTCAATTTGATGAGATGAAAAGCGCTGCGGGCGCTCCTGGAGGAACGCTGAAGCAACCTGATGTTGCCATACTGAGCGTGGAGTGGGAGATTGCAAGAAATCGAATCACCGCAATGAAGCCAGTAAGCCATATCCGCAAGTGGTTTGAAGAATTGGAGGCGCTGGCGAAGAAGGCACGAGATGAGATCGGGCATTTTCCTCATCCTCCTCACTGGCCAGCCGGTATGAATTGTGAGCAGTTTTGTAAGTCGCTCGAGAACAAGATCTACGAAGAGAGGAAGGCTTTCTACGATCGTCAGTTCTGGAACGTAGCCAACGACGCCGCGAAGAGGGAGTTGCAGCCAGAGGCGGAAGGTTACCAAAAATTATTGGAGGCTTTGAGACGTGGCCTTCCAGGGTGGAAACCAAACGAGTCACCTGCCGCCGAGGAATTCCCCACGAGGGCGAGGAATTTCGGCTTCAGAGGCGATGAAGCAGGCATTGGGGGCCATTGGCAACTTTTAGCTCCCGTTGGGATCACAGAGAACGCACATGCTGGACTTTGGGTACAGTTTGACAGCTCTCTCAACATCACAAATCGCATGGTAGTCAAGGAGTCCTATATGTCGGATGCCCTTTGGAATCATCCAACAATGTGGCTTGGCAATGTGACGGACCGCTTGCCCATGGAGTTCGAAATGGCCAACCGACTGCAGCAATGTGAGCAAGCAGATGATATTGTTCAACATCTCGGATATGGAATATACCACACCGCCAGGATGTACCGTTTGTACGAAGAATTCTGCCCTCATGCAACTCTCGAGCAACTCATCCGCGCCCATCGTGCAATGCGTGATGCTGGTGATGACAGGCCATTTACTGAGACAGGTACCCATGTAGAACGGTGAGTCTCTCCAACATTACTCCCCGAGAAGGTCGTATTGACTAACGGATGCAGGCACATTCCGACCAGAGCTCTCTGGGCTACATTTGAAGCATTGGCAGCAGCTCTTTGCCTCATGAAGAACGGAGGTCTCCCGGGACTAGATTGCAAGAAGAACTGGGATCGAATCCATCATCTCGATATCAAACCTTGCAATGGTAAGTGGCTCCAATGAGCCCTGGCAATGAGACATACTAAGACCGTCACAGTATTCCTAGCAAAGGCAGATCCTGACCTCTGGCAAGGAATTGCAACAGCGAAGGTAAGCTCTACCACGTCCTGCAAAGATTTTCTTTGAATGATACTGATTGTTCTGTCAGCTGGGCGACTATGGAATCGCACATCCCTTTAGCCTCGAGCAGCGAGGACTATCATGGTACAATTCGGGAACTCAGATTTACATGGCACCGGTGAACCACAGTCTCGCATCATTCTGAAAGCCAACATGTGTTGTCACTGACAAGATCTGCCAGGAACAACACGGGATCATCGACGCATCCCGCCCAGGCAAGCAATTCATACCACTCTCCACGGCAGATGTCTTCGGTGTCGGCCGCGTAATGCTCTGTCTCATGAACTTGCATTCTCAAACCGAGGCCCAACCCTTCCAAATAGATTCCCTTCCTGCCGTTGTCGATTTCGAAGAGCATGCTGCACGGTACTACCCGCAGACCTTGAAGGAGCTTGTACAAGCATGTCTGAAGAGGAATGTCCAAACGCGGATCAAGGTCGAAGATCTATGGCAAAGGATACATGAGCAAGTTACGACGTTCAGGGGGATAAGGGGACCGATGAAGATGGAAAAGCCGGGCGAGGGAGAGGTGTTATTGTTTCAGCAGGATGTATATTTGAAGTGGGTAGCGCTTTCGTAGAACAATGTTAAGAGGCGGGCCTTCTCTTGCTTGTTCTCGTAATCATGCGTGCCCAATGCTCTTTAATCCCTCGGTTGCAGAGCAAGTGAAGGAGGCTGCCATACCTCTTTATTCTCGCTAAGTAATGGGCCCCTCCCCAAGTTCTCACTGCAGACTCAAGTCAACTCCTTCGTTGCTTCGAACAGCCACTTTCTTATACATCGACGACACGGTCAAGCAACCCGCTAGAGTTTTGGATCATAGATGCCCAGAATCCACTTTCCCGCTTGTCTCGCATCTCAATAGTCATGCGCCGAGACTACCGTGTACTGCTAGAGATGTGCTGTCCAAAGACTTCGTCAACTGCCGCCTCAAATACAGCAATAAGTTCAAGCTTGAATTCGTTCACATATGCGCTTAGTCTTCGCTCCAACGTCACTGCACCATGTCGCTTGTTTGAAGGGTTTTCCCTCTGACGGACGGATTTGACTTATTCCACGTCACAGATTGATGTGTCCGAAAATGTTGAGGTGGCGTGGACGGCGGTACAACAGGTATTGGGTAGTGAGTGGATTGCGAATCGGACACATAATCGCGAGAGGTTGAGAAGCGGCATCAGACAAGCGCTCGACTGCTATCACTGAGACATGCCAAGTGCTCTGTAGCGGAATCTGTTCCGAGAGAATTTGTAGAAATCGCCTCTTTGTTCTGGGAACTTGCTTGCCGATCAGCTTTTTTTATGAACGGAAAAATGGGACAACGCTCAAAGTTGCGACCTCGTTCAAAGCCTTTCGCAATGCGCTGCAGCTGAGAGCGGCGAATATCCATGTCAAAGAGTGACCGTTACGAGACAAGTAAACGTCGAGGTCGTGCTAGATAAATATTGGGACGTTGTTGCTCGCGAAGGTCAAGTGATACTCTGCGTTGAGACATGAACGAGGCTTGCATCAAGCATCAACTTTGGATCCGAGACAAGAGCGACGCATGTTTCGGTACCTTGCTGATGATCTTACAACTTTAGTCGGTAATTTCCTTTTGGTGATCGGACTCTCTGCGAAGTCTGAGACATGTAGATGGCGGGACGAAGGCGAAGCAGGATGGCGCTGGAGTTCAGGATCGAAAAAGCTACCAACACCAGAGCTTTTCCGCTACTATAGATATGTCGACTCCGCAGATGTGATACTCAACATGAGCACCTGAAGATGTATCTCATCTGGCCGTCCTTGCCAGCTCTTTGACGGCTAGACCTTTCCCCACTGCTTGAAACCACTTCTTGAGCGCCGAGAATATGCTGCCGAATAGAACCGTCAAGAATCCTTAGTAATCTTCAGCTTGTTCTTCGGTAGACTTCTGCAAGTTGGACACAGCCATTGTCCCTTTGGTTCTTCCGTGAGTCCCACACACTTGTAGTGGAACCACTGGAACTGGCAATCATCGTTGTCGCATCCGACCATGTCGCCAAAGCTGACCTTCTGACACTGACAGTACAAAGTAAGGTCATCGTCATCGATTTCGTCTTCTGCTCGATCTGCTGAACCGTCATGTTGGCTACGCTGCATGGAAGAAGGAGTAGGGGAAGCTGAATCCTCATCGTCAGAACCGGACAGCGAAGCGTTTGTGCTGGGAGTTGCGCGGTCTCGGGCAAGTTGCCGGCGGCGGTCGGATTTCTTACTTGTACCTGAAGGACGAGGCCGATGGCCGCTCTTCTTGTTGGGAGGTGGCGCTTTGCGACTTGCTCCTGAAGGCTGTGCCTTTTTCTGACTGGCAGCCGGGCGGGATGGCTGGGCCGATCCGGCTCGAGAAGAGCCAGTTGGGTTTGGAGTACCTGCTTTGGGGGTCCCTGGCCCAAGCGAAGATTGTCGCAGATGGCTCGAGGCTGTTGGTAGACTGCCTAGAGATGCGTTAAGCCGCCTGCGTTTGTTTGCCTCGCTACTACCTTCTCTTTGTGCTCTCGGAATGTTTACTGGAGTCTGTGCACCACTAGCTGTACCTCGGTTTCCTGTCGCGGCATTCTGAGCAAGTCGCGCTTGAGCTGCATTCATGGCGAAGTTGGGAGCGCCACCGGTAGTCCCAACGTTGCCACTGACAGCCTGTAGAGGGCCAGTTGTCGGGGCTGCGCCAACTCCTGAAGCCGGCGTGTTCACCCCTGTGGGTACAGCAGAATCGGTTAGCAAGCTAGGGCCAACCCAGTCGGAAGGAAACTGCTCGGTCTGGGCCAAACCTCGCAGACTAACATCCAGGCGCTTGATTTGGCGATTCAGCACGATCATGGCCTTCTCTGACAAGCCAAGCTTCTCGGCTTGTAGAACCTCGCACTTGTCGTAGCAGTCGTTGATAGTCTTGGAGAAAGCTTCCTCCTTGGGGTTGTGCACATGTCCGCCGTTGACCCGCACCCATTTCTGAAGCTGCGCATCTCGCTTGTTGATTTCGTCTCGGAAAGCTGCGATTTGCAGGTCCTTGGCTTGGATTTCTTCCATCAGATGGCTGATCTCGGCGGGAATGTTCGCCACTACATAAGAAGTCAGCAAATGCCTTTCAAGGAGAGACGATCGGTGAAGTTAGTCTCATTACTCACCATCGTGCACGAATTGCTCAAGCACAGAGGCAGCGTCCTCAGGCTGCGCCATACTCATCCTGGCCCCTGTTTAGGCCTCCTTGTGCGCTTCGCGCGCTCGAATCGCACTCGTCTTGGGGCCAAGCTTGTCGCCAGACACTCAATGTAGTGTGTCTTTGCTCGAACGCCGCCCACGGCGATGGAATATGTGAAGGTGGAAGTGTTGTTGATGAAAGAATCACAGACAGGCGCGGCAGTTGAAGCTGGAAGATCAGTGGCGCGTGCGCAGACCCCTGCTAGCGCTGACGATCTGCCGCCGAGCCGCACCTTCTCGAAGCGAAACCAGAGCGCCGGGACCAGCTCCATCTCGCATTCGTGGTTGCGACCATGGCTTCAATTCTCCAACCCATCATATCTGCATGTCACTTTAAAACGGAGCACGCTTCGCATCGGCATACCAACTCCACGCGCCCGATACCGAGGCACCATATTTCCACAACTGGCTAGCAGAGCACTTCCCGGTGGGGCAACATGCGCAGGGCATGGCTGGCTCCTTCAATCCTCGCGCAAATGTGCGCGAAGGCATAGTCCAGCAGTGGGACGCCAACGGTAACGGCACTCGCAACGGCAACTCGCGATCGTCGACACCGCACTCGCCCTCATACCTGAACGGCCGACCATGTGGAATGGAGATAGGCGCACCGGCCACGCCGCCCATCACAGAAGAGGAGGAGAAGCTTTGGCGGGATCAAGAGTTGAATGCCAAGATCATGCAGCAGGTGGAAGAGAATGGAATTACACGTCCGAAAGGGCATACGGTGTCATTCCACTACAATAGTAAGGTCGAGGACATGCACTTCGGCAAGACGCATCCCATGAAGCCTTGGCGCTTGACTCTCACCAAGCATCTCGTGCTGGGACACGGCTTGCAGCATGCCATGGACACGTTTGAAGCCGTCTCGGCTGGCAAAGACGAAGTGTGCAAGTTCCACGATCCAGACTATGTTGATTTCCTCAGCAAAGTCAGCCCGCAGACCTTTCCGGAACTGTGCAAGATTGACAGATATGCTCGCGCCACTCCTCCCAAGCATGAGGGTACGTCTCCTTGCCGCATCCCCATGTACCCATTCATCCGACTAATGCAACCCAGGTGACACTGTCGAACTGGGTCCGTTTAACCTGTCTACCAGCCCGGGAGCGGATTGCCCAGTTTTCGACGGCATGTCAACCTACCTCTTTCTGTACACTGGCGCGACACTGGCTGCCACTCAACGTCTGATATCTGGTGCCTCCGATATTGCCATCAACTGGTCTGGCGGACTGCATCATGCCCACAAGTCCGAAGCTTCTGGGTTCTGTTACATCAACGACATTGTACTGTCCATCCTCGACATGCTGAGAGTCTTCCCGCGAGTTCTGTACATTGATATCGATGTCCATCATGGAGACGGCGTGGAAGAAGCTTTTCAAAGAGAGCCTCGAGTTATGACGCTCTCATACCACCGCTACGGTCCATACGATGAGACGGGACACAAGTTCTTTCCCGGCACCGGCGACTTGACCGACGTGGGTCTTAAGAATACCTCCGGCGAACATTTCGCTTCGAACGTGCCTATCGCTTCTGGAATCGATGACCGACAGTATCGATACCTGTTTGAAGAGGTCACGGGCCGCACGATCGAGGCTTTCAAGCCTTCCGCCATCGTGCTCCAATGCGGTGCAGACAGCCTGGGCGGCGACAGGCTTGGTCAGTTCAATATCAACATTAAGCAGCATGGCGATTGCATCTCTTTCATCAAGCGGAAGGATATTCCTCTCCTTGTCCTCGGCGGCGGCGGATATACAGCTAGAAACGTTGCCCGCGCCTGGTGCAACGAGACCGCGATATTGACCGACAACGTACTTCCAGACCAGATCCCCATGGACCTGATACCTCGGCCGGAGGCCTTCACGGGAAAAGGCAACGGAGATGGTAAGATGTTCCCTAGTTTTGATCGTCTGCATAAGAATGAATGCAAGGATGTCGAACTTGAAGCAATGGTGAAGAAGCTGGACGGAGATCTGAAGTATGTGCGGAACGCTCCGTGGGTGAAGATGGATCAGCTTCCACAGCAGAGAGCTCAGCAAGAGATTATGGATTATGTTGATGAGGAGATGAATCGCACGAAAGCAGAGCGAGACAGGAAGTGGAAGGAACGCAATGCCGCCGGGCGTGGCGAGCTGCGGTAGTGAGCGACGGTCTTGGCATTTGGCAATGCGCATGAGAACACACCATTGCGAGAAACGTCTTGGGGAGTCCTTGAAAACACTGCACGAGGACTTCGAAAGCAAGCCGGCTCCCAGCTCCGCCCGGATGATGTTGTACCTGCAGCTTTGTTGTCCGCCAAGTCCGAAATGCAGGTCATGAAGCCCGAAAAGCTGAACAACGTCCGAATACCGAAAACATCTTACTTGCGCCTCACTCTCGCGCAGGCACAAAATATTCCCATACTTACGACGAGCGACAAGCTGCGTTTCAAGCAACAGTACCCAGTTCCCTCTCCAGTGACGCGGAGATCCATCCACAACACGCACAACAGGTGTTCACAGCAGCGAAAGAAAATGTCGGCGACCATGAATGTCCCTAATGTTCGCGCGTACAACAATCTCATTGGCTCCATCATGAGAGCAATGTCGCCTTCAGTCGTACAGCAGCAACCAATTGGCGCCGGCGGTAGTGCGCATTCCGCCATGCCGGCGAAAGACCCACGAGTGCAAATCGAGGGCGAAGCAAAACAACACACGAAGCAATTCAACGTTGAAGGATTCGATGCTTTTTCATACGGATGCTGAAGCAAGTGTTTTCGATTCGTGGGTATGTCTCATCTGCATTGCAAGAGGATCGGATCACTCTGACGATGCTGATTTGAAGTAAAGTGCGACTGCGATGTTTTGCGTCGGAAGGATGTAGTACTCTGTGACTTGTGCGTTTGAATGATGCTATTGTGTAGATCCGAAGAAGAAGAAGAAGAAGAAGAAGAAATCGAAATCCCGAAAATTGAAACCCGTACCCACATGTTCTTGCAACGTCTTTTCTGCGTCTACTGGGTAAGTATCTGTATCACCGCCGCCACGGACTCCACAACTTCGACATCCAAGCCAGCCAGAAAGCCAGAAACGAAACGAAACGAAACGAAACGAAACCCACAATAATCCCCCAAAAGACCGTCTCCGCTAAATGAGAAATCGCCACCAAATTCTGGCTGCAAACTCCACCGACGACGAAAAGACGAGGAGCTTGAGAGCAATACCGCTGCTCGACAACCGAAATACAACCCTCAGTCGCGAGAAGCAGCAGCTGCTGCTGCTGCAAAAGAAGAAGACTTGCAGTGCGAAGGGAAATGATGCGTATATTCGTATGGATGTTGAATTCAATGCAAGTGAGCGTGGAGGAGAACTTCAAAACGGCAAAGTTCCTGACCGTGTGAATAGGAGGAGATTTGGAGCGATTCTTGTTTGATGAGCGGGAATTGTAAGGAGAGGGAAGAGGGAATGTCCGAGACATAGAAAGTGATGGGAGGTATGGGTGTGTAATTGCCGAGAATACTTTTTATGGAACACCGAAGACTTGTCCCCAACCGCTTTGTCAAGATATATATCATCCCCTCTCTCTCCCTCTCTCTCTCTATCCTCCCCTTTCAAAAAAGACCTCCCGCCCCCCCTTGCCATCCCCTCTTCTCCTCTCTCAACTCACCCACTCACTCAACCCACCCACTCCCTCAACTCAAAACAACCAACCAACCAAATCAACCAACCCCCCAAACAAACAAAAAATGTCCCTCGAACCCCGCCGTCTACACGCCTCCGACCTGCCCTCCATCTTCCTCTTCACCCTAGCCGAAACCTTCGCCTCCCTCGTCCGCGGCACCGCCCATCCCACGCGAACCAGAGAGAGTAGCCGTCCTGCCACATGGCAAGAGGCGGAGATGCTAGCCCGGCGGGAGAGGGCGGAAAGCGAAGTAAGTACTAGGTAGATAGATACTTAGTCGAAGGATCGATTGATTGATTATTGGGAATTGTGGTCCTGTTTCTTGTTCATCTGCTAAGGGTTTTTAAAGGGCGATGTTAAGATGCCGATGGTGCATGAGAAGGAGGTAAAGGAGGGGGGGGGGGGGTTCTTGTCTAAGAGTGGAAGGAGACGAGACGAGAGATGGAAACTGGGATTCTTGTGTTGGGTAGGTAGTCTAAGGTAGTCATTCGTTAGTTCTACCCTCAGATATTAAAAGAAGGAAGGGAGGAAGCAAGCAAGCAGGAGGAGAAAGAAGCAAGCCAGGAGACAAGACATGGTGGGGAGAGGGAAGAGATATCCCCTTGACCTCTTCACTTTGTCAAATTCGTTTCCCGTCCCGATAAATATGCCTCATACCCACCAAAGTAGCAAACAGCACCAACATGCCCTGAACGGGGGAAGAAGAGAGAGAGAGAGACAGCAATATCCAGACCAGTCGCAGCGAGTCGACAATCAGCCAGTCAGACATACAGACACGACACGGAAAAATATACAAAGATTCACATTAACCCATTTCAAATCGTACGCTACTATCGGTCGGCCAAGAGAGACCGCAACAACCTCCACACTCTGAGAATTCCCCAGCAATCCATCCCATCCCATCCCGTCCCTCAACCCTGTACCTATGCCCATTCCGATGCCCAAACCCATCATCTTCATCTCCTTGCGATTCAAAAGAACAAGTAAACACCAAGTCGATGCTGCCGCCGTGTACTTCCGGAAAGGAAAAAAAAAATCAAAGAACCAATCGCGGAGCCATATCCAAAGCTCGCGTTGTTTTCCCCCAAAAATCAAAAACGCCCAAGGCCCCAGAAACCCGCAAAGCGCTCGAAATCGCGACAAGAGAGCGCAAAAGAGAGTATCCAAAAAGTCTCTCATCAACAACCGCTCTCCACAATTCTATGTATAAGTAGCATGTCTGTCATCGTGATGACATTCCCGTCACGTAGGGCGGAGTCGGGTATCGAGAAGACGAAGAAGCAGAAGCGGGGGTATTCTGCGGCCGACACTATCGGTACGGATCATACTCGCCATCGCTATCATCCGAAATAATGCCATTAGTCGCGCTGGCTGCAGAGTGTTGCTGGTCGACGGGCGAATTCTCATTCCATTTCCCTGCCCAGCCGAACCAGCCTTTTTTTGACGGCGCTGACTCTCCGGCTGCTGCCTTGCTGGGCGTTGTCTCGATGGTGGGGACGGGGATCATCAGACTATGCGGATCCTGGTTTGTGGTGGGAGACAGGCTGTTGTCGTAGAACGAGCCTAATTCGTCTGCTGCTTCGAGGTCTTGGAATTCGGATCTGTTCGAGGGGCGGATGTGCACTGCTTTGATGAGTTCCACGACAGAGGCGGTGAGATTACTTGCAGCAGCGTCCAGAAGAGCAACTGGTGAAAGGCCATGCGAGGCTGCGTGTTGTTTTGTGGCGGTGATGAGGCTGTTGGCAGTGCCGGTCACCCGAGCCTTGAGCTTGCTGGCGCTTGGCGCGTGCTGCATGTTCGTCTCGGGAGAGAGAGGTGAAGGGGCGGGCGATGGGTAGCCGTCTGTCCGCACAGCCGAAGTGATGGACTGCACACTGACCACAACGGCCTTGACACTCTCCAGCATGTCATCTGTGCTGCTCTGGCGAGCGACTTTGAGCAGCTCGTCCACAGACAGCTGGAACCGGGCGACATCTGTGTCCCGCACAAGACCGCCTTCGGAGATTAAGCCCTCCTGCCTCACGAGACTGCCAGAGTCGAAGCCAGTCTGCAGACCAAGTCCCATGGTCGATGCACGTAATTGCCTGTTCTGCGCCTTGATCTTGGCATACCGTTGCCGCCACTCGTTGTTATCCTGCTCTAGCTTTGCAATCTTGGCCGCCATGGCTTCCTCCTGCTCAATGGCATTGTCGTTCTGCCGGCTGAGATCTCGCATCTCTCGCAAGTACGTTGTTGCCTCCTCTCGCACCTCGTTGGAGATCTTCTCCTGCTGAGCCAGCTCCTCTTCCAGTGCTTGAATGCGCTCGGCGGCATTGGCATTGCCCTTCTCAGCCTGTAATTGTCGCTTGAGATCGGAGTTCTCGGATTGATGCGACTCGATAAGGGCCTGATGCGATTGAAGCTGGTCTCGCAAGAGCTGCAGGTTGTGATCGTGCTGATTTCGAATCTCATCATCGTCTTTCGATTTCGACTTGTACGCAGCGAGTTCTTGCTCCAGACTCTCATTCAGCTCCTGGGCTTCAAGGGCCTTCTGTTCCAGCTCTTCTCGCAGCGCCACCCACTCACTCTTCTCCTCGGCGGTTGGCGCATTCTCGAGCTCGCGCTCTTTCTCCGCAAGTCGTGTTTCCAGCTCTTCAAGCTTCTCCCTCAGCTGAGAGATCTCTTCTTCTTGGGCTTGGATCTTCTCCCGATCTTCCGCGCTGCCCTTTTCACTCGGGCCGGACTCCACATGTTCAAGCCCAAAAGCATCCTCGTCATCCTCATCGTCATCCTCGACCATTGTGCCCTTGTTGGGAATTATTGTGTTGCTCTGCAAATGCTTAGGTAGCGGTCTCCCAATCGAGCCCGCTTCACTGGGCCTTCGTGCGCCAGGTGGTCCATACGCGCCGGGCGGCCCAGGAGGATAATTTCTCCCTCTGCCAGGGCCTGGCGGTCCAGGAGGATATCCATACCCGGGCGCAGGCGGACGCATTCCACCTGCTCGACTGGCCGCTCTACTTCGATTACTCGCATTACTCGTTGTGCTTCCCGGTCTGCCCATCTCGCCTCCTGCAATCCGAGGTAACCTTCGTTCCAATTCGTAAAAGACGTCTGTTGCCAATTGCCTGAATCGCTCGGTCGGGAGGGTGGAGAGCTTCTGCCGCGCTTGATTTCGCTTCGGGTGGAAATGCTGTTTGGGCAAGAGGAAACGCGGTACATTGTCCACTCGCTGTGTCCGCTCGTCCTCTCTCCGTATCAGCTCGTCGTACACGTCGGTACTCAATTCCATAAACTGCGTGACCGAGAGCCGCAACAGCTTATCCCGAGCCCTATTCGGCCTGATGTTGCCCTTCTCATCCTGCAAGTGCACCTGCAAGTAGCTCTTCAGGGCGGCATAGTGTCGCGACAGCGCCTCTTCTCCGTCAGGTCTCATGTGACTCCTGGTGCTGTCGCGATCGGACGGCTTTGCGAATCCCATGCGTCCATCGGTGGACATGCCCACGGAGCTCGCGGAGGAAGGGGGGCGGTTTCCGCTCACGCTGCTCCCGCTGGCAGAGGGTCGCGACATATCGGTAGAGCTGCTGGGGTGCTGTGAGGAAGGTGGGGACTTCTGGGGAGCCGGACGTGCTGCGCCATACGGGCCGCCGGTGTATGGAGCGTCAGCGATGGGAGTTGCGATGGCGGAGTTGGAGAGACTGCCGTATCTTCCAACAAAGGAGGATTCGTTGCTGCTCATTGACAGTGGCGAGAGGGGAGGCGGTGCGCCGAATTGCGACATCACTAGAAAGAGAAATGTAGACCATATGACATGAGTCGCGAGCCGAGACGGTACCTAGTGAGGTGGATGAGGTGTGAGGAGGGGGTGTTGGTCCGGACGGGAGATCAGCCCGTGGGGAGGGTCTGGACAGGCAGCTATGGAATTCGTGTCGGATGCTGGCAAGGGCGATGGAGTAGTAGTGAGGAGTGTCCAGTCGACGGCCGAGGCGGGATGAGATCCAGGAGATGTCTGATGAAGCGGTCGCGAGCTCCTTTCCTGCTCACTGTCTCTCCGGGCCTCACGAGGCGCCTCTCGCCGTCCGCATGCGCCGGGGCAGAGGAGTGTCGGTGGATGTGGATTAATAGTAAGACTACCAGTAGCGACCGTAGGGGGATGATGGTGGGAGGGGAGGGTATAGCTATAGTATAGTATAGTATAGCGGTGATAAAATACGAGATGCTAGTTTGTGCGGCCCCTTTGCTGATGAGATGGGCGCCAGGAAACGCAACGCGGCTTTTCCCCTTCCAGCGCAGGCCCCGGCAGACAGGCGACCAATCATCGCTCATCTCCCGAATTGATATCGTCCACTCGTCGGCTCTAGCGCCGCTCCGTCACGATCGGTTGGGCCTCGCCTTCTCCAGCCGAGCTTTGATCATGATGTCTGTTACAACTTTCGCAGAGACCAGCACGAACAGATTGCGGCACGAAACCTATAACAGTGACGACGAGGACACAGACAAACAGGGTCTCCTTCGTGCGATTCTCATCATTCCCCGAGCCTGCACCCCGGAAGGTTCTCGCTATCGACACCCGGGAACCAGGCGTGCCCAGGTGTAGCGCGAAACTGACGCGACTCTTCGCGACTCCCGATCCCACCACACCACACGAGTTCCTGCCATTCTTCTCTGCACACGAATCTGCGTTGCGCAATACATCAAAACTTCCTGCCTGTCATTAGTCAGCTTCTCGCTCCGCAGTCGTCTCAGACGGGCCGGAAGCTGTTTCGGGCGGAACCGAGAAATAGACGCACGACTCGTGGCATTCTATTATAGTGGTAGTGCACAACGGGCGAGGATGCCGAGCCTCATCAATTCGCCGGGAAAGGCTACGCGAGAGCTGGGAGAGAAGCACCGAGACAAGGGGACCGTCATCGCGGATGGGACTCAGCTCGTGACGAGGCTCGAACTGGACGATGATGCTGAGGCGAAATGCAAAGACTTCTGGAATGTCAACGTGCCGGCCTCAGAGCAGACCAAGGACTGTCCGGATTTCTTGAAATATGCCCTCGAGAATGAGAAGGATCGGGAAATTCTGTCCACGCCAGATGACCAGTACCGGCGACAGAGGTGGCCAGAAGTCCAGCAGCTGATTCGAGACAATCGCCTTGACCTCTTCACGAGGGTGCCGAGCGAGCTGAGACTGTACCGGCAGTACTGCGCAAAGCTCATCCAAGACTATGGCAGCATCATGAAGTTTGTGGTGCAGGAAAGGTTGCATTGGGAGCATATGGCTTCATCGTCAGCGCCTTTCAGCGATCCGAGTAGCCATACCCTGCAGCAACCTTGAGCGCACCGGATTGTTGCTGACGAGGGCCACAGGTGAGTACAAAATCCTATACAACGACTGGCCATACGGGGTCGATGAGCGCATCGTCCATCTCGTAGTCTGGACGAAATTCGAACTGCCAGCAGATCCACGATCGGAGCTTGGCGACATGTCTCCCGAGACCAGACAGCTCGTGAACGACTGGGTGAATGAGACATTCACCAGCAAATGCGGCCAGGAGAACGTGATCTGGTTCAAGAATTGGGCTGGCCTGAAGAGCATCCATGCCGTGGAGCACTTCCATGTGATGCTCTTCAATCCGGACATGGACTTTGTGAGGGAGATCACGAATGACGACGTGCCACTGTTCCTCAAGGTGAAGCGCGCGAAAGTGGTTCCCAGATGAGTGAGCATGCTGCTGGCTTTGGCTGGTTGGCGTGGAGATTGTTCCGCACTTTTGCTGGCATCATGCCTACCGCAGTGTAACAGAGTCCCATGTCTTGTCGGGCTGGTCATGTGGTCATGCGTGCATCCATCGCCACGCAGGGCAGGGCAGGGCAGGGCAGGACAGGAAAATCGTACCATTCCTTCCACTACCCACTACATAGAACTACTCCTTTATTTAAACTTGATGGAAGGCGCAATCGACTCCAGAGCTCCGGCCATCTTCAATTCCCACCGACGTGTTCGGCGACTTCTCCACCGGGCTGTCTCTCACTGTCGTTTGACTGAGATCAGTGATCGGAACGTGTTGCATCTGTCGCAATTAAAGTGGGACTACTCTAATTGAGATTGACTTGGTGGAGTACAGTGTGGCTGCGGCACCTGATTGGCTCCTGCCCTGCGGCAGAACGAACTGGACGTCTTGAACCAAGCTGAGCTCCAACCTGGAACTTTTTTCTCGCCGAACAGGGGCATACCGCCTAGAAATCAGGCAGGCACTCCTCCAACTCAACCACTTCGACTCGGCTACCTACATTCATTCCTTTCACTTGCGCGAAGGGCGGCGCGTGGGAGAACAATTGCAAGCATCTGCCACACCTCCCTGACGTCGAGCGGCAGGCGACTCGCACGCAAACTTCTGGAGCGTGCCACGAACAATCCTCGAGCATTCACTGCTGGCAGCACAGATACGGGACAGTGGCGAGGATTGCACAGGAGGAAAAGGAGCTGCGCAGTGGGCGAGTCAAGAGGCAGGAGACGAGATGAGCTGTGCGGCTTTCTAGGCCTGTCCGAACGAACAATACCTATCATCTCCCCCGAACGAGCTCTTTGTAGAGCGCACACGCCTCTCGACCCCCCTTCCCATATTTACAACCCACACTCGCTGGGCGGCGATCCCGATATGCTCGGCTCACACCTCATTCCCACCCGGTGGCGGCGGAACTACGACATGACCGACCTTCCCAAGCCCGGCAAATACAACCAGGCCCTCACCCCGTGCTTGCAGCACGTTTCGCTGAAGGCCTGCACGCACCCTATACGCACGATTGTCTTCGTCTTCATCCTCGGCAGTGCCTTCTACGTGAATCTCCTCGAGACCGGTTTCTTCCAGCCTTCACCAACCGGCGACAGCAAGGTCGACTTCGATGCGCTCTCTGCAGGCAGTCGGAGGCTACACCTTGGTCCCCAGACTTCATGGAGGTGGCAATTGGAGGAGAGTGGAGCGAGCAGGCAGGTCGTGGATTCAAGAGAGGAGAACATTGCTCTCGTGACATTGGACTTCTTGGAGTCTGCAAACAACTCGCCCAACGCAGCTCCAGCGGCCAAGGACGTCCCTCTACCGGGGAAGAGCACGGCACAGCTTTTGCCTTCGAGCGAGAATATTCTGTCGCCAATCTCGTCGGATACTATGTTGGCCTTCTCCATGCCCTACGAGGAGACATCCAGTTTCTTCGAGGGCGTCAAGGAGATTCCGGCTTCTGGACTGTCGCAGGAGTACGATGGGTCAGATGACGAGTCGGAGCAGAAGAAGTGGCTCATGAAGACCGCCAAGAAGAGTCTGTCGTCCAACAGCATGCTGGAGTGGGCGCAGAATTCATGGGCCGCTTTCCTGGACCTGATCAAGAACGCCGAAACTCTGGACATCGTCATCATGTTCTTAGGATATCTCTCAATGTACCTGACATTCATCTCGCTCTTCCTCAGCATGCGCCGCATGGGATCGAACGCCTGGCTTGCGACCACGACCATGTTCTCTTCTGCGTTCGCCTTGCTTTTCGGCCTCATGATGACCCTGAAGCTCGGTGTTCCAGAGAACGTCGTTCTCCTCTCCGAAGGCGTGCCATTCTTGGTGGTGACCGTGGGCTTTGAGAAGCCTATCATGCTTACACAGGCAGTGCTCTCTGCCTCAGTGCACCGCAATGGTAACGGCAACGGCAACGGAAACGGAGATGCGCCTCTCACTACTCAAAACGCCGTCTCGACCGCCGTGAAGGAGCGTGGATTCGAAATCGTTCGTGACTACGCCATCGAGATTGCCATACTTTGCGCCGGGGCTGTGTCGGGCATCCAGGGTGGTCTGAAGCAGTTCTGCTTCCTGGCTGCATGGACCCTCTTCTTCGACTGCATCTTGCTCTTCACATTCTACACCTCGGTTCTCACCATCAAGCTCGAGATCAACCGCATCAAGCGTCACGTCAATCTCCGCAGGGCGCTCGAGGACGATGGTGTAAGTCGTAGGGTGGCTGAGAACGTGGCTTCGAGCAATGACTGGCCAAATGGTGACAGCCTGGCGTCCACTGGCGAGAATAGCATTTTCGGCAAGCGAGCGCGAGACAGCAGCATTCCGCGGTTCAAGGTGCTCATGGTCAGCGGCTTCGTCTTGATCAACGTCTTGAATTTATGTACGATGCCATTCCGTGGCCATCGCAACAATGCGCCCGTGACGACAGCAGGCCTATCAAGCGTTGTCACTCAACCTCCAATGGATCCTTTCAAGGTTGCAGGCAATGCACTCGACTCCATCTTCGGCCAGGCTCAGAAGAGCAAGCAGCCTGTCAGCGTTACGGTCTTCAATCCCATCAAGTACGAGCTTCAATACCCATCCGTTCACTACGCCATTTCGGAGGAGCCTTCGGATTGGACGCTGTTTGACAATGACTACCAGAGCGGGAGCTGGCCCGCGTTTGGCGGCAAGATGGTCGAGAGCTTACTGAAGAGCTTCGAGGACCCAACGCTCAGCAAGTGGGTAATCAGTGCGCTCGCTCTGAGTCTGGCGCTGAACGGATACCTCTTCAATGCAGCCAGATGGACGATCAAGGAGGACGACGAAGAGACGAGCGAGAAGCCGCAGGAACCCAAGTCGAATGGCCACGCCGTCGCACCCGAACCACGCGAACCGCCGCCCGTCACACCTGAGCTTGAAGACATCATCAATCGGCCTGGCAAGAGAAGTAGGGAGGAATGCGAGTCCATGCTTGCCGCTAAGAGAGCACCTCTCCTGGAGGACTCGGAGGTCCTGGACCTCGCGCTCCGTGGGAAGATCCCGGGTCATGCTCTTGAAAAGACGCTTGAGGACAAGACGCGTGCTGTCAAGATCCGACGATCGGTGATCGCGCGAACGGCGGGCACATCTGCGCTTACCGCCAAGCTCGAGAAGTCCAAACTACCCTACGAACACTTCGACTATGATCGTGTACACGGCGCATGCTGCGAGAATGTCATCGGATATCTCCCACTCCCACTGGGTGTTGCCGGTCCATTGACGATCAATGGCCGTAGCTACTTCCTCCCGATGGCGACCACGGAGGGTGTCTTGGTGGCGAGTACCAGCAGAGGCTGCAAGGCCATCAATGCCGGGGGCGGTGCTGTCACCGTTCTCACTGGCGACGGGATGACTCGCGGGCCCTGTATCGGATTCGAGACACTCGCTCGTGCAGCTGCTGCGAAGGTGTGGCTGGACAGCACCGAGGGGCAGAAGGTGATGAAGGATGCCTTCAATTCCACGTCTCGCTTTGCCCGATTACAGCAGCTGAAGACATCGATCGCCGGCACGTACGTCTACGTCCGCTTCAAGACCACTACCGGCGACGCCATGGGGATGAACATGATATCGAAGGGGGTGGAGAACGCGCTCCGTGTCATGTCCCAGGAAGCCGGCTTCCGCGACATGGCCATCATCTCGGTATCGGGCAACTACTGCACTGACAAGAAGCCCGCTGCGATCAACTGGATCGATGGACGTGGCAAGAGCGTCGTCGCGGAGGCCATCATTCCGGGGGACGTGGTCCGATCTGTGCTGAAGAGCAACGTGGATGCGTTGGTGGAGCTGAACATGTCGAAGAATCTGATTGGGAGTGCGATGGCTGGAAGTATAGGAGGGTTCAATGCACACGCCGCCAACATCGTCACGGCCATGTTCTTGGCGACTGGACAAGATCCGGCGCAGAATGTGGAGAGCAGCAACTGCATTACGGTGATGAAGAAGTGAGTCGATGATGATGATGATGATGATGATGAGGTGTGGCGTCGGCGATTCGGGCTTGCTAACCGGTGTCACAGTCTCCATGGGAATCTCCAAATCTCCGTGTCGATGCCCAGCATCGAGGTGGGCACGATTGGTGGTGGCACGGTGCTCGAGCCCCAAGCAGCCATGCTCGATCTTCTCGGTGTGCGGGGGCCCCATCCCACCACGCCTGGGGCCAACTCGCAGCAGCTGGCGCAGATCATCGCGGCAGGTGTTCTCGCGGGAGAACTATCGCTGTGCTCGGCTCTCGCCGCCGGACACCTCGTGCGTGCACACATGGCACACAACCGATCGGCTGCTCCGTCGGTGGTGCCCAGCCGAGCACAGAGTCCCGGGCCCAGCGGTCCAGGGGCATCGACACCCGTCGGTCTGGCGATGACGAGTATCGTGGAGACAGCCGAGAGAAGGACTGGTGGTGGAGGAGGAGGAGGAGGAGGAGGAGGAATTTGCAGAGGCAATCAATGACTACAGGTGTGCATGGTTTGACAAGACAGGATATGCCCCACAGCCATCATCATCATCATCATCATCATCATCAAGATCATCATCAGCGAGGCGTTTCCAGGAGTTGTCAACATGCCACCCACCAGTTGCTATTGCGGGACAGGAGAGGGTGGAAAGTGTACATGATGGCATCCAGTGCGTGTAATACGAAGAAGCAGAAGCAGAAGCAGAAGCAGAAGAAAAAGCAATCATTCCAAGTTCGAGGCGTCGTGAAAGGTTATATAGCCCATCGGGCGGCTCCGACGAGGGAGCTGGATGTGTGTGGATGTGTGGATGTGGGAGCTCGTGGCAGGTGGATCCGTCGCACGCTTCCGGATGCACAGTGTGAGTAGTAGTAGTAGTGTACGGGCGCCTGGAACTCGTGGAGGCGGGAAGTTTATTCTTGCTTTTGGGTAAGGTAGCGTATCTTGGGGTATGTCCGTCCGGTCTATGCTTGCAATTGAGATTGATCGTCATCTTTGTCTCTCCCATCCAGACAACAAGAGAAGGATGCTAGAGATTGTTGATGAGAGACGATTGACGAGACGAGACGGGCAGGAACAACACGGCTTGGCAAGTCCGCTCCGGTGGCGGTGGGTGGCACCGAGACTGCCCGGGCGGCGGCCGTCTCTCCCCAACGAGCCAAGCGCCGAATTCCATTCCTTTTTTTTTGGCTCTTCTCCCCAGGCTGATGCTGATTGGTCACTACTTCCTTATCTCTGCTTACTCTCCTCCTCCTCCTCCTCCTCTTCTCAGCTCCCCGCACGCAATCCTTCATTCTCAACAACAAGCACTCTGGGAAAGAATGTTGTTGTAGTAGGACAGACAGACAGACCGACAGACGGACGGACATTGAAGAATTGGGAAATGGAAAACGTTCTGGAAGACGGAAGACGATCGATGGATGCTGCAGCTCGCGGCGGGGAATGGGATCCAGAAGGCCTGCCAGATACTATGTGCTAGTAGATAAGCAGCAAGAGCCGTAATCCCCCCCCCCCGGTACAAGTTTAAGGTAAGGTGAACCAGTGTGTGGCGTGGGAGTGGCTCAGCTTCTGTTCGGTTGTGTTCTGGTCTGGTCCATCTTTCTCCCTTCCCGTCCGCGCGGTCGTCCCCGTTATCAGCTGCCGCACCAGCCTGCGCTCCCATTTCGGCCATGTGCGCCGACTACCTACCGCTGCCCTACGTCTACCCTACTTCTATAACAACCTCACTTCCCTGTCCGTCTCTTGGCTGCTTTGGATGAGACAGCATCTCTAGCCAGCCCTTGCGCCTTCCATACATCTTCTTCCGCTCCGCAGCCCAGCCAGCCAAGAAGAGGACGATGCCGGACTCGCACGAGTACGACGTGGAGAAGAACGGCGGGTGGGTGAGTGCCGCGGGCGGGAGCGAGCACAGCGGACTCCCACACGCGCTCCCGGAGACGGAGAAGAGGACGGCGAGTCTGGTGCAGTATGAGGATGGCGCTGTGCCGGGCGAGAGCTTCGAGTATGGCAACACCTGGTATGCGAAGCTCCAGCGACTGGCCGGCCGATTCCAGGTGGAACAGCGAGGTATCGAGCGTGTCCCCGAGGATGAGCGGACGGATGTGGGCTTCAAGGCGTTGTTGAACACTTCCACCATGGTATGCGCATGCAAGAGTACCTGATATCCCCCCAGAATGAACTTCCCACTGACATGACCCTCGCAGTGGCTCTCCGCCAACATGGTCGTCTCCTCCTTCGCCATCGGCATCCTCGCCAAGCCCCTCTTCTACCTCGGTGTCGCCGACGCCATGCTCGTCTGTCTCTTCTTCAACCTCATCGGCATCATGACCGTCGCCTTCTACTCCACCTTCGGCCCCGTCTTCGGCCTCCGCCAGATGGTCCTCTCCCGCTTCTGGTTCGGCTGGTGGGGCGTCAAGCTCATCGCCATCTTCAACATCCTCGCCTGCGTCGGCTGGTCCTCCGTCAACTCCATCGTCGGCGCCCAGCTCATCAACGCCGTCAACCGCGACGTCCCGGGCTTCGCCGGCATCCTCATCATCGCCTTCTGCACCATCATCGTCTGCTTCTTCGGCTACAAGGTCGTCCACGCCTACGAGTTCTGGTCCTGGATCCCCGCCACCATCATCTGGCTCATCGTCCTCGGCGTCTTCGCCCACAGCGGCGACTTCGTCGACATCCCCTGGGAGACCGGTACCGCCGAAATGGGCGGCGTCCTCTCCTTCGGCGCGACCGTCTACGGTTTCGCCGTCGGTTGGACGTCTTACGCTGCAGACTACACCGTCTACCACCCCTCCACCCAATCCCGCAAAAAGGTCTTCTTCTGGACCTGGATCGGTCTCATCATCCCCCTGCTCTTCACCGAGATGCTCGGAATCGCCATCATGAGCGCCACCTCCCTCGACAACGGCGACAACCGCTACATGACCGGCTACAGCGCCTCCGGCACCGGCGGTCTCCTCGGCGCCGTCCTCATCTACCACCTCGGCACCTTCGGCAAATTCTGCCTCGTCGTCCTCGCCCTCACCATCGTCGCCAACAACTGCCCCAACATCTACTCCGTCGCCCTGACCGTGCAAGTCCTCTCGCGCTCCGCCCAGCGCGTGCCCCGCTTCGTCTGGACCATCATCGGCACCGCCATCTACATCGCCATCGCCATCCCGGGCTACTCGCACTTCGAAACCATTCTCGAAAATTTCATGAACTTCATCGGCTACTGGCTCGCCATCTACTCCGCCATCTCCCTCACCGACCACTTCGTTTTCAAGCGAGGCCTCCCCGGTTACAACCCCGAACACTACGACCAGCCCGATCAACTTCCCCCTGGAATCGCCGCCGTCGCCGCTTTCGCCGTCGGCGTCGCTGGTATGGTCGTCGGTATGAGCCAGACGTGGTTCGTCGGTCCCGTCGCTCTCCATGCCGGCGACGCGCCTTATGGCGGCGATGTGGGCTCTGAGTTGGCTTTTGCGTTTGCTATGGTCTCTTATCTCATTTTGAGACCGATTGAGATGAGGTTCTTCAAACGGTAGCCGCAGTATTGTTCTGTTTTTGAGGTGTTTCTCTTTTTTGGGTTAGCAGGCAGGCAGCATCTTTGGGTTAGGGACTTTTTTTTTTTTTTTTTTTTTTTTTTTTTTTTGGTATATATGCTGTGTCTATTGTACACGTAGATGATCGAAAAACCCCCCCCCCGCCCAGACCCAATTTTTTTTTTTTTTTTTTTTTTTTTTTTTTTTTTTTTTGGAGATGGAAATGCATCTTCTTCTCGAAGATGGAATTGTGCATCTTTCTTTCTTTCTTTCTTTTTTTTTTTCTTTCTTCTTCTTCTTTCCACGAACGAACGAACTTGAAAGTAGTTGGTTTTTTCGTGAGGATTTATTTGCTGTTGTATATCATATGCTGATACGTCGTCTCCTCTGACCTCCACCACGCCATGTATGTATGTATGTATGTATGTAATGTATGTATGTAATGTATGTATGTATGTATGTATGTATGTATGTATGTAATGTATGTATGTATGTATGTATGTATGTATGTATGAAGTTGAGAAAGACGACCATGAACTAAGCGTCAAAAAGCTAGGATAGGATAGGCTCGATCGGACGTATTCGATCGATCCGGTAAAAACCCAATCATCTCTTCACAATAGAGAAAAACTCATTACCCCCTTCCTTGGAACATGTTAAAACTCATAACCCCCTCCTCCCCTTGGAACATGTTGAAAGAGAAGAAGAAGAAGAAGAAGAATAAGAAGAAGAAAAAAGCGGCAAATTGGTATCTCTACAAAAACAAAATGTGTCCTTCCTCCCTGCCTGTTTTGCTCCGGCCGATGAACATGGCAAGAAGAAGATGCTTTCCCATGCCTAACCCCAATGACCCTCCCGTGCTCCCAAACACCTCGCTTCGCGAAAAAAGAAGAAGAAAAAAACATTCCTACAAAAACAATCCCCATTGGCCCCCCCTTATATCTCTTGGAAGAAGCATCACTGTCGTTGATGACTGTGTCCACTGCCGCCGTTGTAGTGAATCAGCGGCCAGGGCTGGTTCGGATCACCAGCCGGGACCTGGAAATTACCCATGGTCGCCACGGCCATTTCCGACGGCAAGACCGACGCATCGGGCTTCCCCGCACTCATCGCCATGAGTGCCCCCGCCGAGTTCATGTAATCTTGGCCGCTGACGTTGGTCATCATGTTGTCTGCGAAGTGCCGCCAAGCGGCCGGTCCAGATTGTGGAAACGCAGCTTGCCCATTCATAACAGCCACCTGAGGAGGCTGCTGGAAGCCGCTGGAGCCCGGTGCCGGTGATGATATAGCCTGCATGAAGTTCGACGGAACTGGTTGCTGTGGCGTGGCGATGGAAGCAGTATGTGCGGCCAGTTCTGCTTCCATGTCCGGCTTCTGGTCGCTTGGATAGGCCGCGGTGTCGAAGCCAGCGGGGGTCGTAGTAGCGTACGGGATCCCATTGGGCTGCGCTGTGCCATAGGGATATTGAGTCGGAGGCGGATACGTAGCCGGGCCCTGCGACGCATGGCCTTGCTGAGCTTCGTTGTACGCCGGATGCTGTACGCCGTTGAGATCCTGTGTGCCCGAGTGCTCCGAATAGTAACCGTTGGCGCTGTTGGCGTTCTCATATGGCTGTTGCGCCGGTGTCTGATCTTGTGAGGGAGGAGAGGCAGTGGAAGTAACGGCAGCAGAGGCGGTCTTGGCGGCAACGTGCGCGCTAATGTGATCGAGGGAGAAGTCAATGATGCCGCGTACTGCACTCTGCAGAGCGGGCCCAGTACCTAGAGCAAGTAAGTCAGATGAGTTATGAATGTTCAATCTTGATGATGGCACATACCAAGTAGTGTTCCGACTTCACCCATCACGTCCAGCCATTGGTCCATCTCATGGCGGAGGCGCTGCAGATCAGACGAGTCCATCTGCTCTCTTCTCTCCGTAGATGCGAACAGTGTCGTGAAGATCGCAGCCAGGAAATCCGTCGCGTAGTACCACGTGGTATCAAGACTCTTCAACGTCTTGAGCTGCACGGCGCTAGATCGCAATCTGCCGCTCCAGTGGATGCAGGTGTCGAGGTTGCTGCTCATGACCTGTGGCGATGACGAGCGACAGAGCGAAGGATGGTGAAGTAGAAGCTGGCACTCTGCAATGGAGATGTCCAGGTACAGAGCTGAGACCCGGTCTTCGTCCGTGGTCTCGCGGCCACCTCTCAGTTCTGGAGGGATTGATTCCGCAAACTCATCCAGCTCCTTCTCCAAGGCTTTGACGTTGGTCTCGTACTGTCCGGTCGATTTTATCGAGTAGATGGTGGAGTAGACCTGCATCATGATCCTCAATAGCGGGAAGCCGGACGCACCAGCTCGCCAAGAACACCTTTTCCACTCGCTCAATTCGGTCTCCTCAGGCAGATGATCTGGTGTTGGCTCTGGCATCTCGATGTCAAAGTCTTCCACGCGCAAGGGCATGGGCCTTCCCAGCTTACCACTGACGTGAACGTGAGTGATCATCAGGCTCCAGAAGATTCGCTTCCGCATTTCGAGGTGGTGTGGGTCCTGATTCATCGTCGAGCCTTGCCAAGCCCTTGCTGAGCGATGCAGACCGGATTCAATGGCTAAGCCCATCACCAGGTTCGTGAACATCCAGGTGGCCCCAGGCCGAGGCTGATTCCTAAGCTGCGAGCATATGATGGTGAGTGCCTGGATGTCCTGGAGCGTGTGGCCGGCTATCAACTCTGGGACGAAGCTCAATGCGTAGTGGTAGTGGCTCATAGCGTCCTGCCGTGCCTGGTCATTGCCATTGCGAGCGGAGAACTGGTAGTTGATTACCGCGAGGACCATGTGGACCATGACTGTCTCGGCTGCATTGGACTGGTAGTTGTCGTGGTGGATGCGTTTGAGCAGGTCCATGAAGTCGGGCTTGTGCAGGATGGGTATGAACTGCTGGACGGATCGGAAGTACCACTCGGCATAGACCTTGCACTGCTCGTATGGAGGGAGTTCGGGAGTGTATGGCTGGGTCCTTCCGAAGGCGTAGTTGAGGAAGGTGCGATACGACATGGGGGCTTCGGCGGGATCGGACTCGGAGGGCATGAATTCAGCCAAGTCGATCTTGGTGCCGAAGAGGGCGAGCGACGTGCCTTCGATGGGACTCAGCCAGTTGTTCTCCGACGACACGCCCAAGTAGTTGTCGCCGATGCAGTCCGGCCTGAAGTGTGGAAGCAGCGATCCTTGAGGACTCTGTCGGTCACCATGCTCCTGCGTAGAGTCCGCAGCCGAGTTTGATGGTGGCTGCGAGTTCCAAGTGTGCATGTCTTCCCACGAGCCATCGTTGCCTTGCGACGACGACGGGGCCGGCTTCGGCTCAAGACCATTGTTCCTCAGCTGCTGTTGCAACTCGATCATGTACATCTTCAGCATGGCATTCTCATTCTCGATCTGTTCTGTGTGACCGCGGGAGGTGGCACGGCCGGTGATGCGATCGGTGGTCTTGCATTCGGTATTGTTCTGGAGGCATGGCGAACAGCCGCCGGGTCGGGCGTCGCATCGTATCTTGCGGACCTGTCGAGGTCACCGTCAGCGAGAGGTCCATCACATGCAAGTGCCGTGTGCGATTGATGCAAGTGGTTGGATATGTGAGGACTCACCTTGCAGCGATCGCATGCCTGACCCGTCCGCGTTGAGCCCGACGTCTTCTTCTTGACTGCGCCGGACAAGTCGCCGTGGGTATGGCGGAGGACGCTGGCATTGCTCTCTTTCAGTCGCGGGGCCTTATTAGAGCGGTTGTGGGAGAGGCCGGCACAGGCGTGGGAGGCGTCGCCATCGAGTGCGTCGTCGCCGGGCCGCTTGGGTGGTGTAGGCATGTTCCGTCGTGTCTATGGAAGTTGCCGTGAGAGCGCGTCAATCGTCTGCTGCCACCCGCTCCGGCTGATCTCGTGCCTCATATGGCGGAATTGGACGCAGTCGCTGTGCCACGGGCGACGTTGCTCCATGCGATTGCTCGGTCTGCGAGGAGACTGCGCTCCAGTAGACGGTCGCGTCGTTGGTCCGGCGGCGGTCAGCGCTGCAGCGGGAGTAGCAGAGCGTAGTAAGGTAGACAGTAGTAGTCGTGTGGCTCGTGTTTCGCTGTTCTGCCCGCAAATCCACAACGCCCGTTCTGGACCGGCAGCGACCTGTGGCCTGTGCACGACACGGCCGCTGATTGGCCGCCCAGCTGGGAAAGCCCGGGTACCTCGACACAGCTTCCAACTCTCTCTCTCTCTCTTTCCTCTGTTCAGTAGTACACTTCTACCATAAATTATCCGGACCCCCGATCATCCGCACGTGCAAACCAGCCTTTCTGCGCAGCAAACTACTGTCGCGTCGCTGCTGTCTCAGGACGCCGGAAGCTCTCAGGCCTCGGGCACACTCGCCATCACCCCGACTCCGCCTGCGAGCTGGTCCACAACGGCCATGGAGACCGTAGAGCTGCCCCATATGGAGCAGCATCCTCTCCATCTCTGCCTCTTTCGGGACCTCCACAACGCGCCGTTCCTGCGTCAGCAGCTCTTGCAAGGCAATACCGATTTCCAGTACGCTTTTCTGGATGCCTCAGTGCTGCTGTCGCGGAACCACGTCTTCTCCGCCTGCTTCCGTGCCATCAACGACATGATCAACCATCGCATGAAGAGCCGAAACGTTCATTCGGAGATTGTGTTCGCCATGTCACCCAATAACAACGTGAGTGACTCGGAAAGGTAAGCTCAAGATGTCTTTTGCTGATGTTTCCCCTGCAGATCGCGGAATCTTTCCGACGCTTTGGGATCCAAGATGACAGCAAGAACATCGTTGCAGTCAAGGTCGGGTCAGATCGCGAGACTGTCGAGAAGCATCTCTTCGCAAACGTCCAGGGCAATGCATCTCAGCTGGACGATGAGACCCTCGCGTCTCTGCACGATGCCGGGAGATTGAGAAAGATCTACCGACTGGATGCCCCGAAGAAAGGCGAGGCCTTGGTACTTGGCAACGAGGCGGAGGCATTTACTATCGGCACCATGTCATTGAAAGGATCATAATGACGGCGTCGACCGGAAGAATTAATCTCGACCCTATGTCTCGCGTTTGGGGCACTCAGCAGCCTAGTAGGTCACGCTATCGCCGTTTTCCCGTATCGATAAGTCTTGCTCGCGGAGAGCCTCTCTTATCTCGGTATAGGCGGTCCACATCCTGGCTGGCTACATCCACCCTCCATCAACATCTCGGCGCAATCGAGACCATACTGACGTTTGTCCCACGAGCACCCGCCCAGAACGTCATTCCAGGACCTTGCCCGACCCCTTGGTTTCGACGAGCGTCCGCCCGACATCAGTCGCGGACATCATCCTCTTCTGCCGAATCCACTCACCTTTGACCACGGACCCGAAAAAGCGGAACGCGGTAAAGAGGATGAATGCAAATTTTCCGATGCCAGCAATGGCAGCCGAAACACCCCGACTTGTTGTCTCGGCATCGTTCGTTGTTCGTCGGCATGATGGTAGCAAGATGGGCTGACGCTGGGGAGGGTCGCGGCATGCTATTGAGTGTGGCTCATCTGGCACACATGTACTCTTAACAAGAGAGATCCGGTGATCGCACACCAGAATCTCGCCTTCGGTTGGGACTGCGGCACATGTGTGATCCGCGCGCAGCGCCACTGACAACGACAATGATATCTCCTCCCTATGACGAAGATCGCCTGCAATTCCTAGGGACTCCCACATCTACACATCAGTAGTCCCATTCGTCGATCCACCTTGGCCAGCGTCGTCCCTATCTGAAAAGAACACCACGGCTATCACAATCGACATCAACCTCTCCACCCTAACCCTAAACCTAACTCAAACGTCTCTAGAAGAGTTGAACATGGATGTATCATCGTGAAGGTAGATAAAAAAAAGGTATCCGATCGCAGATCTGCTTCGCGGATGCAAACGAAAGGGTGAGATCTAGGTCTCGAGATCGCGTTTGAGTATCCATCGGCTACTCGCCTCATCTCATGACAGGAACATCTGCATGTTCACAGACCGTCTGCATTCCTATCTCCACCACGTTCTCAACTAGCTGGATGCCTTGCTTTTGCTAGAATGATCTGCATTGCCTCGACCCGAACCTACACGGATGGAAGCCTCTGCCATCTCTGGAGACTTTGCGACACCGGCATATCTCTATGTCCCGCTGCAACTGCTACCCCTGGCTATCTTACAGCGCATCGTGATAGAGGTGCTCAAGGTTACTGAGCCATTCGCGTTGGTCGCGGTTACGGAGTTTTGGCATGGCTTGGTAGATGTTGATGATTACAATGAACTCTCGAGCCAAGAATGAACGTCTTGCTGTTGTATAGTGCCATTCTCTCGATTAGCTGTCGATTCCGCTCACGCTCTCATGTGACTAGCGTGGAATGGAGTCTTGGCGTTCAGGTGAATGAGCATGCGGGTCATGTGACACGCTTAGTCAGGCGGGCAGTCCCTTCGCTACAGCTTGCGTTGCGCGTCGCTTCCAGACCACGGCAACATTCCTCCTTCAGGATCTCCATCGGCTCGCATCTCATCTCATACCAACGCGCAAAGCGGAATTGCTGTCGCGACAGAGTGAAAATTGTTGTCGCAGTAAGAAGTTTGAAGGAGCGGCGCGATCCCGAAACTCGTCGTCGGTCAGCACGGCGCCGACATCACCAAGAACGGACTCTGGACGCCGACGCCGACTGTGAGCGCACGCTAAAGCCATTGCAGTGCCAGGTGCTGCCGACGAGATGAGCAGACACCAACCGCTGCAAACGACAGACGTCCTCGACCCCCGTTTGGGCGGCAACTCGCCGTCGAACAATCCCGCACCGCCGCCGTCCTCCCAGCTCAAGTATGAGCGTGCGCCAACCCATTTCTCGTCCGCCAGCAATGTGAATGCATATCCGCCGCACCAGAGTCCACAGCCATACTATCATCCATACTCTACACCGCAGGCTCACGACACGCCGGGGCAGTCGGTCAATGGCCCGAGCACGGCGAACGCGAGCAACCAGGCGAGCCCAGAAGGAACGGATGGAGCATACCAGATCCCCGCAGATGCTGGGGAGAATAGTCCGGGCGAAGAAGGAAATGGGCAGCCCGGAGACGATTCCAAGCGGCCTCGGGCTTGCGAAGCATGTCGTGGATTGAAAGTTCGCTGCGATCAGGATCCGCAGCATCCAGAGCTCCCATGCCGAAGATGCCAGAAAGCAGGCAGACAATGCATCATCACGGCTCCAAGTCGCAAAAGGCAAAAGAAGGCGGACACACGGGTGGCTGAGTTGGAGAAGAAGCTTGATGCCTTGACCGCTGTCCTCCAGCAGCAGCGATCGGGACAGGCGCCCTATGGATCACCCCAACATATCGGTATTGCGCCCCAGGCAGACATGATGCACGGCAGAGCGAGCACTTCGTCAATTCCACAATTCGCCCAGCCAAGCCCATCAACAGGACAGTCGGGCTCGGCGGATCGCACCCCCATGCAGCCTTCGCAGAAGCGACGTCGCACTGGAGCTGGACCAGGTGATGCTGATGCACTCGATGCTCAACAAGCTGAGCGCGAGGATTCTACTATTGAACATTTTCGCGAGATCACCGATGCATGGGCCCCCTCTCGCGATTCTATGCGATACCTGATTCATCGCTCACCGGAAGAGTTTCTGAATCGGATCAACTCGCTCGTCAATCCGGATATGGGAAAGACCATTTTCAATCGATACATCACCAAGTTGGCGCCGCATATGCCAGCTGTGGCATTTGCTCCAGGAACCAACGCCGAGCAGGTCTGGAAGGATAAGCCAATTCTCTACGTGTGCATTCTCTCTTCTGCCTCCGCTGGATATTTGCATCCCGACGTCACGAAGCAGCTATCGAGAGAAGCGTTTCGTGCAATTGCCGACTGCGTGGTTTGCAATGGCGCCAAATCACTCGAGCTCGTTCAAGCGATGCAAGTTCTGGCTTTATGGTACAAGCCGCCAGAGAAGGCCGAGCAGACCAACTTTTACCAGATCATCCACATGGCTGCCGCCATGGCAATTGACATCGGGCTCGGCAAGCGCTTCAATCCAGCAAAGGCGAGAAGAGGATTCGGTGGGCCCCATGCGGAGTATGCTCCTGGTCCACAGATGATACTGCCACAGAACTCGGATACGATGGAGGCGAGGCGAGCCTGGCTGGCCTCTTACTATCTCTGTGCAAGGTGAGCTTATTCTGATATCATCAATGCAGTTATTGCTGACAAAACTTAGTGCGTCTATGGTACTTCGCAGGCCGAACCTTCTCAGGTGGACCAACTATATGAAGGAGTGCATCGATGTATTGGAAACAAGTTCAGATGCTTTGCCTTCAGACAAGTTGTTTTGTCAGTACATCAGAGTGCAGCATATTTGCGAAAACATCGGCCTGCAATTCCTCATGGATGACAATACGGCCACTGTCAGCATCACGGACCCGAAAGTCACGTATGCACTCAACGTTCTGGAGAATGACCTCAAGACCTGGGCAGATGGCATTCCTCCCGAGTGCAAAGACCACCCTGCACTGAAGTTCTTCGAGCACGTCGCAAACTTGTATCTGCACGAGATCGCGTTGCATTTCAATCACAACATCGAAGACTTTCGACTTCCCTTTACTGAAGAATCGCTCAAGTCGGTCAACAACAGCTCGGAGACCCTCACACAGCACCAGATGGCCGCACTGGAAGCTTGCCGGAAGTCAGCGCATGGTATTCTAGATACCTTCCTATCTATGGAAGTGGAGACCGTCAAGGCTTTGCCCATGCTCATCTACTTTGTTCGTTGCACCTACGCTCTGGTCATTCTTATCAAAATGCACGTCGCCATCACGACGCCGGGCAGTGAGATATCGAAGATCATGTCCGTCCGCGATGTGCGAGTGGACTTCTATGTCGATGGCTTGATCAGCATGTTTGGACATGTCGCCAATGAGCAGGAATTCCGACCTCATCCTAAGATCTTACGCATCCTCTCTGTGCTGAGGAATTGGTTCGGCAAGCACAAAGAGAACGTTGCAGCACAAGCAAGGGGCGAGCAGCTACCTCATCCAGCAGCCACTGCCTTCCAGGCGAGCCGACAAGCAAGTAATACCGATTCAGCGGCATCGAATACACAGACGCCTCTCCATCTTCTGTCGCAAGTGGCGACTGGGAATCAGGGTCAGCAGTCGGGTGGTGATTCGCAGGACTGGTCTTTCAGTACTCCATTCCCGGTGGATTACACACAGCCGCCGCCTGCTGGCCATCCCGATGCCAAGTTTCCCGCTCACCAACAGCAGCAGGCTCCAGCGCAGGCTTCCACATACCCGCCCTTACCGGACGCGACTACTGCGTATGCTGATCAGTCTGGTATGGACGGTCAAATGTCCCACGAGTATCTGTGGGGCTCTGGATTCGAGCAGGCCATGGATTTGAGCTTGGGAAGCATGGACGGACTCTCGAGCGGTGGCATCGATGGCCTCTTCTTCGGAGCTGGCATGGCGCCTTTCGGATTGAATGGGGATGGGTTGGGTGCCGCTGGGTGGTAGATGAAACACGGAAAGGCATTGTGCTCGAGCATCACTGTAACGTCAATCATTTACTTCTCAGCTCTAATGTCTGCATGTACCGAATGAACATCTGTCATGATCATCTGAAAGTCAGTGACATAGGACGAAGGTGACGCGCGTGTGCCCGCGAAGTCCTGGACCTTTTTCTACTTTTGCTACTCTGTCGACAGCATGTCGGTAGTCTCGACAATGGCACAGCCGGGAAGCACGCGACGGAGATCGATCACGCGCAGTCTTTGTGTGTGTGTCTCCCTCTCTCTCCGTCCGCTCATCAGTCCAAAGCACATCCAAAGCACATTCCACACAATAGGTCTCCACAATCGCAAAGACGAGGCGAGGCAAGTCAGACGGACCGCAACCAGGCGTCTTGAAAAGTCCTTTTCCGTCTTTCGTCTTGCGTCTTTTCTCCGGGTTTTCTGGATTTTTGTCGTCAGCTCAGCTCAGCTCATTAATTTAATTGTCTCAACAAAACAATCGCTCGCACGCACCCGAGAGGAGAATTTTCTACCGACGGTCCGGGAGATGTGGTGTTTTGATTATCATGAGTCTTGCTGCGTTTCTTGGGTGCTGGTCTTTTTCGATAGACAGACTGCCTGGGTCACTGAGAGAGAGAGAGAGAGAGAGAGAGAGAGAGAGAGAGAGAGAGGAGGAGAGAGGAGCTGCGATGCAATTGCGCAGGTGGGGAGGAGGATGAGAGGGATGATGAACGATGGGGACGATTTTTTCTCATAGGATAGACGGACAGCCAACGGCATAGGACATGTAACAACTTCCCTACCTAGACGGGCAGGCAGGCGACGTTTCTAGTATCAAGAATCCTACCTACCTAAAATTTCCGTACCTTACTTACTTACTCTTGCTAAACCAGCGACATACATGTACTTTGGCTTTGCAATAGCAAGAAAAATTGTCGGGTGTCTTTCCCACGCGGCATCACGGCGACTTCCTTCCGCGCACAACCTAGGACATACGGTCGACCGCATCCGGATCTGCGAGCATACCTGAGGGGGAAAGCCGCGGTCGCTGAAATCACGATTTTCCACACTCTAGCCCTCGAGACTTGGAAATTGGAAAATGATGAGGTTGGGCTACCTAGGCGAGAACGCGATCTACCATGTGGTAGGCTTTGGAAGATCTGCCATCTGTCGACTTTATGCTTGGCGGTAGCAGCTTTCCTGACGTGAAGAGAGCATCAAAGATCTCCTCTCATACCCGTCTCTAGTGGCCCGGCGGAAAGGTACAGGGTCGGGATGAGAAGGTATTGGACGCGGTCTTGATTGGGCATACTCTCCGCAATGTGAAAGAGGAGGCGAAGGATTCTTGTGTCGAGGTTGGGCTGCTTGTCATGTTCTGCCGGATGGGATTTTGACTTCGTATGTGAAACAGGCCTCTCTTGAGAGACTATTTGACTGTGACTGTGCGTGCTGGTGACCGATTGAATAGCTCTCGGTGAGAATGGGCACAAAAGTAGGACATCACGAGCTCTCAGATTCAAATTCAAGGACCGAATTGATGCATGTCTAGGAATTTAAAACTTCCCAAAGTAACGTGAATCCAAACTCGAATAGACAGGCGAAAGGCTCTTGCGCATACGTCGGTCACGGGCCATGAGTTCTTGTATACAATGCTCACCTCTGTGCGTGATGTAGCGAGTGCCGAATCGTAGGTTCATCGTCGCGATTGCATGGTTTTACATTGGCTGTGGCTCTGCAGCGTGGACGTGGCCTGGAACTCTGGAGGAAGAGTCACGAGTGATGCGGCGGCGACTGTTTGCATGCTTTGGGTTGTTTCGACAGTTGCTGGATCATGGCGACTTGTTCGATCCCAGAATATCGCGATTTGAGAGACTTGATTGGGTGTGATGTGTGGCCGGCGATCTGGCTTCTGCTTGAAGTATTCCGCAACGGTGGCTTGCGTGAGTATGCTTTTCATCAAAGTCAAATATTCGACTTCTTCATATATCGACTGAAGCTGGAAGAACTCGGACCTGTCTGAGATTGTCGACAGATTTCTTCCTGAGTTAGCGAGAGGAATTGCCACGTTTGGGAAAGCCGTGGTTTTGGCGTGTATTTAGTCCGCTAGCTTCGGAAGACGGTGAGGTCTAGACACGCGGGAGGGAAGCAGCACATTAGGACATTGAAAGACCAGGTGCGATGTCAGAGTCGACGGTCTTCGACAAGTCCAGTGGCCAATGTGAATGAGCGACCTGCTACTTGTCTAGTTCCTCTCACGGTCTCATGCTCGTACTCGTCCCTACACTGCCTCGGACTGTCTCAAAGAACGAAAGGACGGTGAAAGCAGGATCAAACCTGCGACTGGACTGCCTCAAGATCCTCCGTGGGTCCAGAACACCAGACACTGTTGACTCTGGAGACGGGCGTCCGTATAGCCCATGGACGAACAGGAGCCTTGCTGTCGGTGTGCATCATGTACAAAGTAAGCTGGGGCGCCCAGACGAGTAGAGAAGCCGTAGAGCATACCGGAACGATCGGCCAAAGAGAAGGTATTGTATAGGGACATGGACCAGGCACTAAACTCCATGTTGTGCGCAACTCTGATTGAAGTCCGGAACGGCGGTCAAGCCAATGAGCTTGAATAGAGAGGCAATCTTTCGACGAGCATGACTGAAAGTAGCCTGCAGCGTTGGTAGCAGATATAAGAGGGGATGCCAGCCTCCCTAGTATCCGTGTACATGCTCCAAGAGACTGTTGCGAAATGTCCTGTTGCATGCCGGCGGTGAGAAGGGCTGCTATATTGTATGCAAAAGCTCGCAGTGATCAACAGAGCCAGCTGAAAACGGATGTCGGCGGAATATACTATTTTCTGCTTGCATGCTCCGCGGCTCGCAGGCGAGGTGACATTCGTATTCCTCAGGCACAAGCTCTTCGTATTCGCGCCAGGCAAAGAAGGAGTTTCCGGTAGATCGCAGCGCGGGGATAACGATGATGTGGCTACTTTATACGCTCCAACGAGGATAGACTATGCACCCTATGGATAGGTGGATAGATGGTTTCGGACGAGATCGGCGTGTCAGAGGTAG